CTAGGCTCCATACATAGACTTTTGCATACAATTGAGCACCGACAACATAATTTCCATCAATTGACATGGCAAGAGCCAAGAGTTCGCCATCGTGTAAAAGTGGGTCTCCGACTTGCTGATTGGTTTTGAGATCCCAAATGCGAACTGAGCAGTCCCTTGAGGCACTGATAAGATGAGATTCATCAGGGGAAAGGCAGAGGGATGTGACGGCCTTCGTATGACCTTGAAGAACAATGAGCTCCTTCCCATCAGATGACTGCCATGTTCGGATGGTGCAATCTGATGACGCAGAAAAGATGCGTGTGCTGTCCTTGGACCAACACAACGATGTCACTCCATTCTCATGTCCCTTGATCTCAAGGAGTAGCTCGCCTTTCTTTGACCACAAGCGAATTATCTTGTCTGCCCCACCACTCGCGAATTTGTCGCCTTGTGGAGAGTATCTGACAGCACATACCCAACCATGACTAGTCTCTACCAGTGGTGCGATCTGTCGTCCAGTATCTGGGTTCCATCGACGTATGGTGCCATCGTACGATCCAGTTGCTACCTCCACAGCGTCAGGAGACCAGTTCAGACATATCACTGCATCATTGTGTCCCTTCCATGGGCTTCCTACCATTTTGCCCTCCTTTATGTTCCACAGTCGTATTCTGCCATCTGTGCTTCCACTGACGACCATGCTTTCATCTGGAGATACTCCTATGGAGCCTACCACTCCTCCGTCACTAACCCAGGGCTTTCCTATCGGCTCTCCATCTCTTGTCCATCGGTGAATCGAACCATCAGATGAGGAGCTCATTATGCTGCAACTACTGCCCAAGCAGGCGATGTCCCATATACACTTAGAATGCCCTTCGATGACGCGCTCTGGCGTCAAGCTCCCTGCTTGGCGATCTGGCACAGGTTTCTTCCATGACGTGGTCTGGGTATTGTGGTTGACGAAATAGGACCGACCAGATGGTGATATGTGCCATTCGCATCCGGGAACGAGATCTCCAGGATGATCTGTGCTCGACTATGAGTTTCTTGCTTTTAATCGCACTCCCTTCGCTTACCTAATCGCACACCTGGTAAAGGGTGGTTCCGTGAACCCATGATCAGGTTGTTGTCTTGATACAACGTTTTACGGTCTAGCACCTGAAACTGTTGCCACATAGGAGGGAGTGCTTCGTTACCGCCTGCTTCTTATTGAGTTAGCGAGTATTATAATATGACTACTGCTAACCTTGCCAAAGCGCATCCTGGCGGTGCTGCGCACCATAGGGTGGAAGGTTCCTTTACATTCTTACGAGGAGCAACAGTTGCTGGCGAGTCTAACAGCGCCGCTAATTCTACCTCTCTCCGGTTTCCTGACGCGACATCCTCCTGCAGCATGACGGCGACTAAGAAAGTTTGAAATGGCCGCTGTTCTTTACTGTGTGGGTAGACAACGATTCACAAGCAGAGTATTGTTGGACGATGGGGAGAGTCGATGGGATACCTTGATGATGGCGATAGAGAGACCTGTTAAATATTCAAATTCACATGCTGTACTTCTAGACGCCTTGCTTACTGTATAGATATGACGATATTTTATCCCGAAAGGGCAGCGCATCGCATATACAGCTTCATTGAATTGTCAGCAGACACCAGCTATTAGGGCCTGGCTATAACATATGGCGGGCGCAAGTTTGGTCAGCCGAACGCCCATTGGAAGTTCAATAGCTGCGGCTATTCCAAATGGGTAGGTATATGTTCCGAAAACCAAGTACCAGGAATGGTTTGTGATCAGCCTATAAGCCTGGTTCGCATGATGGACGGTTTGCGTTCAGAGCGTATACGCGTGACAGGTGATTGAACCAATGTTGGACGTCGACCTTGGCATCGTCCTGTGCACTTAGGGAATGACCCAGCCTGCCACCTGGCAAGCCATCGACAGCAGACCTACTAGTAAAACTGGACTTGCCAGTAAATTCCAATCCTGAGCAGGTTTTCAAAACTTTCGATCCTGCGTTCGCCAGCCATCAAAAGTGATCATCGTGGATTGATCGGTGGACAGATAAGTAGTCATCGCCATCGGTACGTACACCGGTCAAGCAAGCGTGCTTTGTGTCCATCCCGTTTATATCAGGGAAGGCCTGGATGAGTCCACGGGTGAGTCGTTGAACTTGATCATGCGCGAGGCCCAACCAGATCACAGCTCATCCGATCAACAAATGATGTACATACAATTTTCCCTTGTTTTTATGCGTACAAAGCAGGAACCTTAATGTATGGATACTGGTCATATGGGGAATAACGCAAATCGTCGTATCAGGCATACAATCTCTTCGTGTACCTGGAGAAAAAATCAGCGACACATCGCAACGGAACGTCATCATCACTCACGAATGCAACCCATGAACACCCCCCTCCAGCTGAGCACTCGGCGTCCTTACTTCGAATCTCACACGACCTTCCTTCACGCCTGCCTGCAGCTCCGAAACACTGCGCACGCCAATGTCCTGGAGACTATGCTGCACACCGACGTGTAGGTATGGAACGAATGCTTTGACGCTGCCCTTGTCTTGGACGTCACCCGACACACCTTGAGCAACTTTGACAGCGGAGGACTCGGAGAAATAGCGCGACGTGGCGGCGTTCTCGTGTAGCTTGCTCAAAAGGTTTGGAGTGTGCTTCGTGGAACCGGGCTTACCATTAGCCTGACCAGACACGCCAGGTCTACCCTGCTCCATAGCTTCAAGACTACCCATGCCTCGGTAGGACTTCACACGCTTCCCATCGTGGTAGAAGTACTCTCCCGGGGCTTCTGTGGTGCCTGCAAGAAGCCCTCCCATCATCACAGCATTCGCACCAAGAGAAAGTGCCTTGACAATGTGCCCGACATTGCTGATACCACCATCTGCTATCACCGGGATACCGAACTTAGATGCAAACTCGGCAACAGCAAACACAGCTGTGGCCTGTGGACGACCAACTGCCATAACCTCCTGCGTGATACAAATGGATCCGCTACCCATACCGACGCGGAGAGCGTCTGCCCCAGCAGCAATGAGGCTGGCAGCTTGCTCACGCGTGACGACGTTGCCTGCGATGACCTCGAGCTTGGGGAACATCTGCTTGATCCATTGAATCATGTCGACCTGGAAGATGGAGTTGCCCTGCGATGAGTCAAGGACGACAATGTCAAGACCAGCCTCGACAAGAAGCTTGAGGCGTTCTTTGTCGCTAGGTCGTGTGCCTACTGCAGCTGCTGCATATAGCTGCTTGCTGTCGGGGTCCTTGCTAGCAAGTGGGTAGTTTTGGTTTTTGAGGAGGTCAGAGCGGGCGAGGAGAGAGGTGAGACAACCTTGGTCATCGACAATGGGGAGTTTTCCCTTCTTGGAAGAACGGAGGATCTGGTTGGCCTCTGCGAGTGTGACACCCTGGGGAGCGGTGACAAGAGACTTGGTCATGACCTCGCTGAGGAGTGTCTCAGGCAACTCAAATTGTACGTCGCGTGAGGTGACGATACCAACGAGCTTAGTGCCCATGTATCCCGTTTCTGAAGAATAAGCATCAGTTTTGATAACACGGGCATGATGGGCGAAATGGAAGATCAGATGGCCAAAATGAAAATGATGTCCGCAGATCACAGGTGAAACCCGTTAGTCAGAAGAACGAAGGTTATTGGTAAAGGTGTTCATCAAGGAAACGCAAGTAAAACGCATAACGCACCTGTGATAGGAATACCACAGAAACCAAGACGGGCCTTGATGTCAAGGACATCTGCAACCGTATGATTTGGAGAGAAGACGACAGGATCCGTAATAAAGCCATTCTCGTGCCTCTTGACGGCTCGGACCATAGCCGCTTGAGATTCAGGAGACTGGTTATGATGAATGACACCAATACCACCCAACAGCGCGAGACTGATGGCCATCTCGGTCTCGGTAACAGTATCCATAGGACTACTCATGAATGGGGTTCTGAGAACGACATTACGAGTGATTCTGGTATCAGTGATCACATCAGAAGCAGGGAAATCGATCTTTCCGGGAAGCATGAGAAAGTCGTTATAAGTGAGACCACCATGGACACGGGAGTCCATGAGATCCTTGACGGAGAGACCATCTAAGCATTGGTAAGATGCTAGATGGGCGACAGCGTCTGAGGAAGGTAGGAAAGTTGCTTTCGATGGGGCGGGCATTTTAGCCAAATTGATTAGAAAATTTTACAACTATTATCAATGAGTATTTTAATCGGAGTTGAAAATACTCTTGCACTCATACTGTCATGTCAACCCATGGTGCGAGAGTTATTCGCTTTAGTCTAGTGGTGTCGGACGAAGAAGTGGTGTAAATAGTCTGCTTTGATAGGGGAAAAAAGCGGTCCAATGTACTGCATGCGAAGTACCACTCAGATCCTTAATCTTTGTGGGAAAAATCATCTACAAGTATTTCTATCGTCCTGACGTCCATCATGCATCAGGTCTCGAGCAGAGGCTATATCTTCTGTGCAATGATATCGCGATCCGACGCGATTCTAATGCACCAAAAAGCTGCTCAAGGCGAACAAGCAACCGCAATACTTGGGATTCTGGATCAACTATAACGGGTAGGCGAGCCATCTGACGGAGAAGAAGTCGGCGTCCAATAATACCCCTTGCTCTCCGTATCGTCCCCAACATCGGGTAGATTTGCAAAGTCAGGTAACTCGAAGAGAGACTGATCCCAGGACGGACAAGCAGAAAAGCGGCTGAGTAGGCCTTGTCTGCAAGAACTGAACAATCAGCTCCTTGGTGATGATCGACAAATCACGAAGCCCGCTTGCCTTGACTTCGAATGTCCTAGGGTGGATTGACTTCTGTGACACGGAATGATATGCTGCCGAACGAGCAGCGCTCGTGTTATCAAGCCGGTCGTAAAGTTTCAAATGATTGTTCGACCCAATCAAGGACAGTAAAGTCACCTGACTGTGCTACCATTTCCTGCAGGAGTTCGCCCAAGCGTCTTGTACTTTTTCTCTCCTTAGATTATGGGTAGGTGGACATCGAAGATGCCAAAAAATGAGCACGCGATGTCTTTCTGGATGTAGTGCTGCATGATGACATTCATTGAAGTCTCCGATCTCGCTTTCGACGGGACGAGACCGCCAAAAACGTAAGCAGCCTTGTAGAATTCTCGTCAGGCATTCTGGTTCCGTGCGCAATTTTTTATATACATACCTCCAAGCACAGTTGCTTGACTTGGTCTTCGTGATCACTGTCAGGTGCGCGACGTGTGATATAGATGCCAGAGCCTCCCGTGAGTAGTCAGCTTGGAGAGGTCAGAAAAGGTGGTCAATTTGGAGGTAGTAAAATGCTCAGCGAGCCAGGGTAGGTCTTCTTTCTTCAAACAAGCTCAATGCAAACCTCGATGCGAATGCTAGGAAGACATACACGAATACCACAGCCGGTTGTCCTGAATCTGAAGCAGCTTCATACCGCCATCCTTCATGGTGACTTGAATAGAAGTGGACCCGTCGTTGAGGCTATTTTCCAGCAGCTCTTTTAACGCAGAAGCGAGTCTGTGTATAATCTATGTAGAGGTGATTTTCATCAGTACTTATTCGCGCCTGTACCGTGGTGTCAACCTAGCGTGTACTTCGCCTGCTGCAATTAGGTTGATGAGGGACTCGTGGAGTCTTCTTATCGGTTGAGGGCCAGGTGATTCTAGAGAAGGAGAGCAACGACCACTTGCCATGCTCAGAGTCAAGAGTAGCGAGCTCACGTTCACGATCTTGAACTAATCACGTGATTGTTACGTTACCTCTGACTTCATCAATGCATCAACGAGCTCACGCCCGTTGTGCCTTCGGCACAAATCGAAGGAGCACTACGCGCTCCTTCAGGGGAGGAAAATGAGTGTTGTTCCTTCGTCACAGGAAGCCAAGGAGGGCTACGCCCTCCTTTGGCTTCCTGGCCTCAGGCTGCATCCTAATAAATTGTGCATTTTGAATTATTTTGAATTATATTTATGAGCAGCTTTCCAAAAAAAACTCAAAGTACAATCTATCACACCACATAAAAGTACATAGTACATAAGATCAGTCAGTGCTATGTTCTTTGAGCAGGATTTTGACCAATGTAAAAATACAATCTACTACACAACATAAAATTACAAAATATGTAACAGTATCATTGAGTGTATTTATTTTCCCATTTTTCCCTGCCTCCCATCAAGGGATCAGCAGGGGTATGGGAAACCCTTGAGGGTAGGGGTAGGGGTTTTGATCTGAAGACCCCTGTACCCCTGGGAATATATGCCCAAATTGATTACCATAGGAGGGATGGATAAGTGTAAAATTTTGAAGTTGTACATTTGCCTTCAAATGGTAATATATGTGATTGGAAAAAGTGTTACCATGGGGCATACCCATGCTACTCCCGTCTCCCATTGTAGAAACAACAATACTGTGAGGAGCAAATGAGGCTCCTGACTGTATCTATAAATGTTTGTAAGGTCACGCTTTGCCTAGTCTGCGTTACTTGAGGAGACAAGTGCGTTCGACCCTAAAGGGGAAGTGAGTGCATGTGCGTATGTGGAAATTGATAAGGACTAAGCTTAAGTGATAATATGATGCAAGGTAGGAGAAGAGAGATGCGAAGTATAGACAAAATGGATTTCCACTATGTTCTTCTAGGTAGATAGTGGGTGGAAAGTATAGTAAAGTGGAAAGTTCAGTAAGGTAAAAGTAGGTTGGAAAGTTAGTTGAAAAGTAAGTGGAAAACTTTCTTTCGTAGTATGTACTGCTGGCGCTTATATAGCGCGCCTAAGCGCGGTCATGCGGAGCTGAAGCGCTACCGAGTAGGTATGTAAAGATATATATAAGTAAGGGTCCATTATAAAAATAGAGGTGGAATGATATGCTAATAAAAGAAATGGAAATATATGCACTAGAGGGCTTGGTGGACAGTGGATGGATGCTTCTGGATGGCTGGCGCTATAGGGCACTCAAGCGCGGGAACACGCGTGGGAAAGCTGCACCTCATAGTGGAATATCTGTGGATAGCACACAGAGTGATGCTGCAAGTTTGTGCTATGTACTCCTAGTGTAACGCGCCATATCACACCATGAGAGGCATGAGTCTCTACACCGTCTCCCGTCTCCCGTCTCCCATCTCCCGTCTCCCGTCTTCCTGTCCTCCTATTTTCCAGTTTTTGAGTCTTAAGTGATCTTTTTCTCCCTTTTTTATCTTTTCATAACCTTCTGTCATTCATCTCCCAATCTCTTTTATCTCATATTTTTTTTCCCCCTGTCTGTCATTGTATCATATGTTGTTCCATTATTTGCTCTATGTATACAAAAAATACTACCATAACAATTACAGTAGGGAAAACACTCAAATCTAATCACACATCTGCCTTGCCCTGCTCAAACACATCTTTTTCATTATTTAATGCCATGTACATATACAGTTACTAAGGTCGTGCTAAGTTCCCAAAGGGCGATGCTATTTGAGTCAGCGCTCGAAAACACGTGACAAAACCACGCGAGCTGCCAAATCGAGGTTAAGCGAGCTAAGCGCTCCTATGTGGCCTTTAGCAAAAGCCATGCGAGCGCCCAAGCATTCCCGAAACCGTCATACTTTACTTCTTAGATGTCGGAAATTTTTAAAGGTGCCTTGCAAGGGACCCCTCTTGAGGCTAATTGAGGGGTTGCAAGATCAATGCAAGAACACCCAAAATTTATTGGAAAGAACTTGCAATTGCATCGCAAGTGGCTTACAAGGGGCCGTAAACAAAACTTTTGCAAAAATCTGTCCCTAAATGAGGTTGCAATCAGCTTGCAAGTGTCAATTGATCCCTGCTTGCAAGATTTTCGGTGTAGGGATTCATTTCTGGTTGGGCTTGTAGAGACTGTTTTTACCTTACCTTATGTTGGCACTTTTGTAGCTTACATAATCAAGCAATCTTTTCACCAGTTACCAGTATGAGTCTGAGAGATCAGCAAGTTTTTATGGTATTTCCTCTCCTCTGAGCCTTGAGCCTGGTCCAGAAACCCTTTAGGGTCGAATAGCAGCTAGGTTCTGCAAGACCCAACACATTGTTCAGACTCACCATCTGAATTGTTGTACCTTCATCGGGTCCGCTTCCAAGGCACTTCAGATGGGCTCGGTCAATTGAGAGCTTGCAATGCCTTATCAGGCATGCCAAGCAAAAATAACTTTTTCCAACAAACCCCAGTGAACTCTACCTATGGCCAAAATGGTTGAGAACGAGTGGAATATGATGAATTTAAAAGCACCATATTTCACAACAGGAGACTCGCTGTGGAGACTAATACAATATTGCACATCTGTTCCGGTCTTGTGGTATATCATAGGGTATTGTTAATCATATTTCACCATATTTCAGGTTAGTTCAACTGGTACGACAGAATCGGTTGGATTTGGGTGAATTATGCTATAATCTAATGATACAATGTCATCAGCTCATGATCAGAAAAGACTATGGGGCAGCAATACGAAATACGATAGCAGGCAAGTAACACGACAGTGACACAACAACAGCAATGAGGAAAGCAAGCAGACAGTTGGCGACTCATGAGACGAGATGATCCAATGGCAAAACAAAAGCAGTAACAAGGACAGCAAGGGTTGTAGTGCAGGAGAGAGCCACAGGACCTAAAAAGACTGCCAGTGAGGCAAAGCTAGTACACAGCATCATTGACAATGTCACTGCTCTTTGTCCACAGCCTGTTATTTTCCTAAGAGATCTTCATTAGACTAGATAATACAATGAACGGTCTCACTTACTAGGTGAGTGAAGGAGGAAGACGAGTGAGCAAAAGCAACAGCAGGTAGGCAATAGGAAAATTTTGATACATAGGACCATTGACAACGTCACTGTTAGCGGGAGAGGAATGTTTGTAGGGTTAGTAGTCTTTGAAGGGATGACTGCCACCGCTTTGAAAGTGTTTGAGGTATTTGAGCACACCAGTGGTTGTTGGTATAGTTCATTTGCAGTCGACGGGCCATGCAGCGAGTGTTACGCACTCAAATAGATCTGTTATGCGGAGCCCTAAGAGGGGCGTTGTCCGCTAACGTTCGTGACGTAACCGGAAGGGTCCGGTGTAGCGACTGAGACTGGCGACGACGAGTCGGCAGATATCAGAGACGCCTGTGTCACGTGACTTCTAAGACGGATGTCTTCAAAGTCACTGACGTTCTCAAAGTAAGGACAGTCTTGTCCGAACGATGAGTAGTCGATTGAGGTAGACTTAGGCGCAATGAGCACCTAAGAAAAGATACTAGAGACTGAAGCTGAGGGGGCTTCAGAGGGAAGTATGTTCGAGGGAAGATTGAGTAGATTCAAGTTAGGGAATCTAGTACAGGGTGACCGACTACTTATACTAAGTGGAAAGGGTTAAGGGCAAGGCTACCGTACTGTAGGTAAGGGCAAAGGGGAAACGGAAAGGGTATAGGTATGCTGGTAGCAGAGCCTGATTAGTGATGTGAGGTCGAATGTGGAATGAGACCGAGAAACGTTGGAATGAGCCAACAGTAAATGATACAATGTGCAGCACGCATGAGTCAGAGGAAAGATAAGACAAGATAAGGAAAGCCACATTGGTGGCACGAGTCAGGACAAGTCATAGCCCGAAGGCACGTGCGCACGTTGGTGCGATAGGAGGGGGATGGGGGACGGGAACGGTCCCGAGGATCCGGTCAACGGATAGTTGGTAGAGAAGTACGAGCCGGAGGCATATGAAGGCGAGGACAAAGGGGAAAAATGATAGGGGGGCCATGTAGCCGATGTTACTTGTAACAGCAAGTGATATTATGTTGGAGGAAGGCAGACAAGCTGTTGAGAAGATGGTGGTGAGAAGAGAGGTGGAAAATGGAGTTCCCAACATCAGGAAAACGTTAGTGTGCTTTTACAGGCTTAAACATTCCTTAAAGTGTCTTATTTGCCTTAAGTTCAACTAGTGAGGTGGGCAGCAAAAATGCGCAAGAGGTACTTGGACAAAAATGCGCCTGGCTGCTCGTCATTATTGGGATCGTCGTACACAAAGCAACAGTCTTGAAGCTTATACTCAGCATATTCCTCATGAGCTTCCTGAGTCTCATATTCTGGCATTGAAGCAAAGAATGCCATCAGAACACTGACAGCTGTTGAACTGAATGCAGCCCACCACTCATGAATGTGTTGGCTTGCCTAAGAAATGTGAATCAGCAGCCATTATAAGCCACAACGAAAATGCAGACCAGTTGAAATGGAAAGCCATCAATGTCAAAATCACAAGGTGCTCGTTTACGTGAATCATATACCGCATTAAATATGTTCTTGAGAACGTACTCAAGTTCATTCTCCAGTATGGACTATCCATAGTCACTGTTGCCAACCCAGAACATCAGGCATGGAAGAAACTTCGTGTGCCATAATCCATTTTCGAGGCATCTGGAAGGTAAGTTTGAATTCTTGGCCTTTCCTTTCTTGATCTTTGAGCGTATGTTTATTGGGGCTTTGACCTCAGTCTTGACCCAGGCCTCGACCTTGGTATTGCCCTTGCCCTCAGTATGCTGTCTCATGGTCTTCTGGCTGGAGATATTAACTGACATCTAGTAGAGCATCAGTCATTTCTTGCAACCAGCCAAAAAGTTCTTACAGAGCTTGTGCATTGTGCCACGCTAGCCTTAGCACCAACAGTGCGTCGACTGTCATCCATCATCGAAACTACATAGCTCTCATCTTCAGCAGCCTCCTCATCCTCGAATGCTTCAGCAGTGTTTGGGTCCTCAGCAGTGTTTGGGTCCTCGGCAGTGTCTGGGTCCTCGGCAGCATCTGGGTCCTCGGCAGCATCTGGATCCTGCATCATCTCAAATTCTTTGGCAGCATCAAATTTGTTGGCAGCATCGAGTTCTTCAGCAGAATGCTCTGCATTTTGGAACGAGCGCTTCTTGCCTCTCAATGTGAGTTTCGGTTTCTCTTTCACATGCACAATTTTCTAATTTACATGAGTACATGTTCATAATTCAAATGGGTACTGACCTTTCCCCTCTGCATTGTCGGTGTAGGCTCACTGTACTCTTCAGGTTCATCATCAAGATCCAGGTCAGAATCAGCAAGTTGACATTGGGCAATCCTCACAGAGGCTTGGGTACTTGGTGGCGCACATGGCTTCCGTTGAGTCTGTGATGCGACTTTGTCTACCCAGTCGGGAATGGGCCCTTCTAGGTCAGAACTGATGACTTGCCAGAGATTGGAGCTGATTCGGCATTCACAGATGTGATCAAAGTAGTATAGGGTGAGTTCTGTTAGAATCAACATCACGGTCAAAAGAAGACTTATGATGTTTTGATTTTCCCATCGCCAATTGTACTTCCAACACGTGTGTCACTGTCACTAGTCAGAATCGTGACTCTACTATTGGACACTTTGCGGTTGGCATCAACACTGTCCCGAAAGTTCAATTTCAACCCAGCATGTTTCTTCTTTACCAGTTGACTGGTCTGATTGTCTTGAGGAGCTGTAGTTGATTGAGAAGCTATATATGAAATGGTCAGGTAAGTAATTCAAGTGTTGGGTCATGACTCATGATGAACTACAGGTGTACTCTTCTTGCTGGTGATGATGCGTGGCCGAATGAGCTTGGGGGGACCATTTGTCATGGTCTTCTGCTGGATGGCCATTGCATCCTCGGCTGCAGCAATTGTTGTACGTGATTCATTTATTGCTGCAGCATGTGCATCCTTCTCAGCTTGCTTCTGGGCCTTTTCAGCAGCGACTTCTTCCTTGGATCGGTGCTGTGCTTGGTTTGCTTCCTGGACAACATTTCCAGGATGTTTGTTTGCATTGCTGGGGCATGTTCTTGGATGGGACATTAGGAAGAGAGCGATGAAAGAATGAGGGACAATTAAAAACAAACGACTTGAGAAAAAAACTACTGACTAAGGTTCGTCACAAAGTTCAACACTTCAGGGTGAGCCTCGGTTCCAAGTTCTGTTAATTCAATCTGACCTGAAATGAACAAGTTCACACAGTGCCATTACATTGAGCTAGTACATTGTGTTCATCATTTCTACTAGCAAAATGATCCGACTGCCTTGTCGCATTCCTGGTTGCAAACGGGTCTTCAAAAATAAGTCAGGCCAAACGAAGCATGTCCGCACAGCACACAGCCTTTTGCACAATCGTGTAGCCTTCCATCAAGCAGCTCCTGACCTTCGCTCTCCAAGTCTTGAGAATCCTGCCTTTGATGATCGGCCTCCAAGTCCCCAGCACCATGACTTTGATGAAAATAATGATGGAGTGTTTATGCCAGAGGAGGGCATGCAGTTGGGGCCACTGTTCCGGACGTTCCATCCTCTTCTTACAGGTAACTGATTCGCATCATTCACCCATTCAGTTCTCACTCATAGTACAGGCCGAAAGTGCGATATTTACGGCAACTTTATTAACCAGAATGCACCTCCACCATCCAGAACTGAAGCCTCACCTACTGACTGGACACCATATGAAAGCCAGGTTGCATTTGAGACAGCAGAGTTCTTATATACACATAACCAAATGTCTGCGGCTCAAATTGACACTCTTCTCGACCTCTGGGCAGCAACACTTATTCAACACAATGATAGTCCTCCGTTCACTGGCCATTGTGACTTATATGAAACTATCAATTAGACTCCCCTCAGTGATGTCGCCTGGGAGACTTTCACCATGTCTTATAATGGAGTCAAGCCAGCTGAAGACATTCCGCCCTGGATGACTGCCAAATACGATGTGTGGTTCCGTGATCCGCATCTACTTGTTCATCACATGCTTTCCAACCCTGACTTTGACGCCAAGATAGAATATGTTCCATATCGGGACTATACTAACAATGATCAGCATTGTTACAAGAACTTTTTCTCTGGTGATTGGGCCTGGAAGCAAGCGGTATGGATTTCATGCCTTGCAGCTCCTTTCCTTGAACTAATAGTACATTTTTATACAGGACATTATTGTGGAGGATCCAGAAACTCACGGATCGACCTTTGTGCCTTTAATCATTGGCAGTGACAAGACTACAATCTCGGTCGCTATGGGACACACTGAGTATCATCCACTCTATATGTCAATTGGCAATATTTTCAATGGAGTTCAGCGCACACATCGCAACGGTGTAGTACTGGTGGGTTTTCTGGCTATTCCCAAAAGTGCATCGTCACTTTGACGCACTGTTTTAAAAACTGATTCGCATTATATGTACTATAGGCACAAAGGAACATTTGGACAACAAAGACTTCCGCAATTTCCGGTGTCAAATGTTTCACTCCTCACTCACCAAGATATTTGAGTCTGTGAAGTTGAATATGACGATCCCTGACATTGTGCACTGCCCTGATGGTCATTATCGACGTATCATCTATGGGCTAGGCCCATACATAGCAGATTATCCGGAGCAACTCATGCTGTCAGGAGTTGTTCAACACTGGTGTCCAAAGTGCATCCCCTTCTGTTTGATTCATTAACTTACGCTGACATTGTTCAAGGTGTCTAAATCATCGTAAGAATCTCGACAGCTGTGGCCCATCTTTGCTCCTGTGCCAAGAACACACCGACCTCCTGGTTCAAGAACTGCAGCATGCTCACCTCTGGCATGAATATAGCATCATTCAAGAGGTTGTGGTATGTTCTCATTTTTTGCTCAGATTAACTTCTCATTCATTTTTTCAGCCATTCACAAATGATTTCCCTCAAGCCGATATCCACGAACTTATCTCTCCGGACATCCTGCACCAGATCATCAAGGGGACATTTAAAGATTACCTTGTTGACCAGGTAGAAGAATATTTGTTACTCACACACAGGGCTTCATGCGCAGCTGAAATTATGGATGATATTGATTGAAGGTACAAGTCTTTTGTCAACACATAATCATTATCTACACACTGCACTCATTACTTTGACAGGATCGCAGCTGTTGCTCCTTTTGCAGGTTTATGATGCTTTACACAAGGGCATGGATTCAAGCAGTGGACGGGTGACGACTCTAAGGTGCTGATGAAGGTATGTTGTGACTGAATTTCTTTATAATGCATAAGCTAATACTACTACTATCTAGGTACAGTGGCTCAAAAAAGTGTCCCAATGTTTGTAGCTTTTCATGTAATTGCTATATCATGTGTCGAGACATGGGAATATGACTAAGCTATAGGGAGATGTCGGAAAGGTCTGCATCTCAGCTTCATTTCGGTTCCCTATACCGTGGGAAACTAATGACATTATGTGAAGATATGAGTATTTTAATTTGATGACTCATTGGGACACTTTTTTGACTTTGAGTTTTACTAATGTAATCTCTATAATTCTAGTACTGTGTGTGACCTCCTTCTGCTCCAATCACTTCTGCCACTCTTCTAAACATATTCTCTATCAATTTTGGGTATTTCTCTTTGGTGATTCCATCATACTCTGCTATAACACTGTCTCATAGTTGGAATAGCCCCTATAGTGAATCTTGATATGCTACAAGTAATTTCTTGAGTGATTCTCAGGGGTATTCAATATGTTTGATGTCTTGGGTCTATGTTGAACATGATAGAATAGTAATATTATGGTCTTTAAGTTATTTGGTAGCCAATCTAGAAGGTTGCTCTATAAGACTTAAGATCTCTTAATCACTATATTCTAATTGGAAAGACTGCTGATGCTAATAAAGTGATTAAATTGATTATTTCCATCATTCCTATGACTATCTCTACTCAAATAGTCAGACAGACTCTCAAGACAGCCCATCTTAAAGCTATAATCAAGAAAAACAGATTCCTCTGTCTCCAACCTATAAAAATAAAAGACAAGATGCTACTTTCAAGTACAAATATCGGACTGCTAATAGCTGAAAGAGGTTTATCTAGTTAGATAAGGTTAAAATCAATAGGATGAAATCATATGGCAAGGAATTTATATTAAAATAGATAAGACAATCATTAAGATAAAGAAAAGTTAAATAAACACCTTAAGTTTCAAGACAAAACTTGATGGTATAGGACTATATGAGATAAAATGGAGTGGGAATCTTCTATGAAGCAAAGGGGAGGATGAATACAGAGTAGTGAATACTCATTTGACAGGAGTGTCTGCTAAGAAGCATGCAGAAGTTATGAGTTAATGAAGAAGATACTGTTTTGTGATAAGACAATGACCCCAAGTATACCTCTAAATAAGCCACCAATAGCTTGCAAACCATGATATTACTATTCTATCATGTTCAACATAGACCCAAGACATCAAACATATTGAATACCCCTGAGAATCACTCAAGAAATTACTTGTAGCATATCAAGATTCACTGTAGGGGCTATTCCAACTATGAGACAGTGTTACAGCAGAGTATGATGGAATCACCAAAGAGAAATACCCAAAATTGATAGAGAATATGTTTAGAAGAGTGGCAGAAGTGATTGGAGCAGAAGGAGGTCACACACAGTACTAGAATTATAGAGATTACATTAGTAAAACTCAAAGTCAAAAAAGTGTCCCAATGAGTCATCAAATTAAAATACTCATATCTTCACATAATGTCATTAGTTTCCCACGGTATAGGGAACCGAAATGAAGCTGAGATGCAGACCTTTCCGACATCTCCCTATAGCTTAGTCATATTCCCATGTCTCGACACATGATATAGCAATTACATGAAAAGCTACAAACATTGGGACACTTTTTTGAGCCACTGTATATATACCCACCATCAAAGGACATGTACCTCAGGATGTCATTTGCGCATTTAGCGCATTCCTCAATTTCTGTTACATAGTTCGACAAGACACGCTCACAGAGGATGACCTCGCCCAACTTCAAGACACACTCGACCGTTTTCACCAGTACCGCGAAATCTTCAAGATGACAGGAGTTGTGCCTGACTTCTCACTTCCATGCCAACACTCTCTTAACCACTATTTCCTCATGATTAGACTCTTTGGTGCCCCAAATGGCCTTTGCTCGTCAATCACTGAGTCAAAGCACATCAAGGCCATTAAAGAGCCTTGGCGTTGCTCCAGCAGATACAAAGCATTAGGCCAAATGCTGCTCACCAACCAACACCTCGATAAAATAGCAGCAGCACGAAGCGACTTTGAAGCTTGTGGCATGCTTCAAGGCTCATGTGTATCTGATGCATTGTGTGCACTGAAAAATCATGAGTGTTCATTGTATTTAAGGCTTTTTAGTTTTTAACTTATAATATACAGGTAGTCGCGAGCTTCCAGACAATGACAGTGACGACAATGATGACAACGAACTTGCGGACATGTTACAGGCTCTTCCTAACCATTTGCGCATCAACGAGCGACCAAATCAGTCCATTGAAGTAGATGCAGCTGAGATAGTTGATGGACCTGCTGCCCAGGCTCACATGGAACTTGCTGCGCTCCCCAGTAGGTCTTCATATCTATCACACATTATCTGCTAAAGCTTTCTAGTACCGGGTGGTGCACATGATGTCTCTGCACTTGCACTTGAACTTGAACTCCCGAACTTCCCCACAATGATCCAGCAGTTCCTTTATGACCAGCTTCATGTTGGAGACCATGAGGCCCCCGATTTCGACCCTGTGGCAGCACCATCTTTCATGGGCTGAGTTTTGGTTTTCAGCTCGGCAGCAGCATCATTCCATGCCCCCAGTGACCTCAGTGGTACTGGAGGCATGCGACATGAGCACATTCGTGCGACGACATCATGGCGAGGAGGTCCTGCTAGGCATGACTGTGTATTGGTAGGTACAAACAACGAGGTCAATTGCGGCTTGGATGGACTTGCCGTTGCAAGAGTATTGCACTTTCTCAGTTTCAAGTACTGGACAAAATATCTGCAATGTGCAGTTGTTCACTGGTTCTCATATGTCACAGACAGCTGGGATCCTGATACTGGAATGCACATTGTTGCACTGTTGACTAATGATGATGGCACACCAGATATCTCACTTATCCATATTGATTGTATATTCCGTGCAGCTCATCTTATTCCTCTCTATGGTGCTGATTTCTTGCCTCATGAAATCACCCCTCATGACAGCTACAATGTATTTCGCGCATTCTACATCAATAAGTATGCCGACCATCATGCATTTGAAGTAGCATGAGAGGCAGGTTTGTCGACATCCTCTGTCCTCCCCTTTTACAGTTTAATCATTTACCAGGACTATCTACATGAACCTTACTTGCATCCAAGGTCATCTGTGACGACACTTACTCCAACAAATCACCATATTTTGTATCTGCATCCATGCTCACATCCAAGGTTATCTGTGATGACACTTACTCCAACAAATCCTGGAGTATTGTAGCCCAGGGCATGTTCCAATTGCGAGAAATCAATCAGGTGAGTTGTCAGTGTAATTATAATTCACCATCCAGCAACTCAAAGTGTGCTCTTCAGGTCACCGTCTTTTCATATCTGCTTTCATGCTCGCATCCAAGGTTATCTGTGACGATACTTACTACAACAAATCACCATCTTTTCATACCCGCATCCATGCTCGCATCCAAGGTTATCTGTGATAACACTTATTCCAACAAATCCTGGAGTTTTGTAGCCCAGGGCATGTTCCAATTGCGAGAAATCAATCAGGTGAGTTGTCAGTTTGATTATCATTCACCATTCTGCAACTCGAAGTGCACTGTCCTACTGCTCAGGGATCTCCGGATCACCATCTTTTCGTACTGCTTTCATGCTCGCATCCAAGGTTATCTGTGACGACACTTACTCCAACAAATCCTAGAGTATTGTAGCCCAGGGCATGCTTCAATTGCGAGAAATCAATCAGGTGAGCTGTTGGCCCTTTTACCATTCACCATCCAGCAACTCAAAGTGTGCTTCCCCTCTGCTTGAGGATCTTCAGGTCACTGTCTTTTCATATCTGCTTTCATGCTCGCATCCAAGGTTATCTGTGACGACACTTACGCCAACAAATCCTGGAGTATTGTAGCCCAGGGCATGCTCCAATTGCGAGAAATCAATCAGGTGAGTTGTCGGCTTAATTACCATTTACCATCCAGCAACTCAAAGCATGCTGTCTACTGCTCAGGGATTGTTATTCAACATTGACATCTCCAGTATCAACGGCATCACCCCCAACACCCCTGGGTATGGAGGACTGTACTGCTCCTATCACTGCTTTTGTCTGTTGACTCCGTTCCAGCCAGTCAAGTAACCATCATTATATTTTACTATTGTCACTTCCATGCTCATTTTTACACATCTTGATGACACCGCTAATATATACACTTCTGCGGCAGTATCATTATTTCAGGACTATATAGAAATGTCTCTTTAGAAATAAAATTTGCTTATGCAGCTTTATCTTTCCTTATTTTTCTCATTTAGAGCGATCGAAATTTCTTATGTTCCTTAACGGCCTTATGTGGCTTGCAAGTAGAATAAGGCAAAATAAGCACACTAACATTTTCCTGATGAAAACATTTTAACTCTGGGGTGTTAGTAGATTCAAAACTCACTCAAACAAAAGACTTGATGATATTACAGGATATTGCACGAGAAATTGAGCTTTGCGGAGTAAGTTGTATGACACCGAATGATGCACGAATTGAAGTCATCGAGATATTGACGGAATTATGTAAGATTGTGTTGCACACGAATTGGACACGATCGACGACACAAGCAATGCAATGCAAATGGACAACAATGTGATATTTTTATGATGTGATGCACAGACGATGGTGCCATTGAAGATTATACAATATTATATCATAAATTATATGTCTAAACAATATTTGACACTATCCTGACCATTTTGGCCATAGGTAGAGTTCACTGGGCATCAACCTTTGCTTGACCTTTGCCACTATAAAGCTGCCCTTCCTTGACGAAATCTTCTGCTAAAACAAATCCAATTGGCATTTTGGGGTCATCGCATTATCACGAGGAGTCGTTCGTAACTTCCAGTACACACAGAGCTCTCAGTGCACACCCTTCCACAAATGCATGGGCTCGTCTTATGTGAGCATAGATGACCAAATGAAATATTCACATGTCAGCTTGAACTACTTCAATGGAGTGCCATGCATAAAGACCGGGCCTAGAAGGATCTATCAACATCATGATGATAAGGTCTCAGTTCACTGCAGGGAGCTCTCATGAAAACTTTCGGTGTTCGATGCTCTCAAGCACGTGTTCGTCATGGTTCGAGTCATAGCTGCCTAAATGACTTGTTGTGTACCACTCCGAGTCTACCGTATCCACTCATCTCAGACTCTTCCAAATTTCACTAGCTTTCCTTGGAATCCAATAGTACCCATAACTTCCTCATGTCATAAGCATCAGCCACTGATGATGCCGAGGAGTGAGGTGCAGCTTGCTGAAATCTATCACTTGTCTAACAGCAATACAGGGAGAAGATCAATGTTGAACCTTTGGCAGAGCTGCCACCAGGGATGTATGTGTGTCTTCCCTGATAGGCGTCTGCACCACTCCTTACTAGAACTGTAGTTCGAATGCTGGACCTTTGCAGCTGTTGGGACTTCCGGTACAGCATCACAAAAATTGCTCAACTCAGACCGGACCATGTATGGTCATGTCTATGGTATCAGGACTACCAGGTATATTGGCTGCTGGCCCAGGTATGTCTTGCCATCCTAGGGAATGCAAACTTCGATCAACATATGAGTCTACATCATACTTCAGCTTGCGACATTGTTCATCATGTAGATAATTCAGACATTGTACATCACTCAGATATATCCATGCAATCTATTGTATTTTGTATCTGTACGATACAATAAGAACATAACATGCACTGTAATGTATAAAAATGCGAGTCCATATAGTGTAGAGTCCCTAAAAAGCATGCATCAGGAAGACGATGAGAGTGTGAGTTGGAGGTATGAGTCCATGATGAATGCGCAAAAGCACGAAAGCGCGGGAACTGAGTGAAAACAAGTCCTGTAATCGAATATATAAGTACCAGACCAATAAAACAACAGGGAGCATACCATGCAACAAAAAACTACCTCCTGCGTGTTTGTCTCCTTGTGCGTTTTGCTGGCTGCTGAGCTTCCTCATCTCCAGAATACTCGATGTGCCTGTTCTTACCCTTCCTTTTTGAATGAGTCTTTGCAGCCAGACATTTTGACTTTCAATTGGTGATGTCATCGAGTGCGTCTTCATCGACCATTAAATCACTTAATGCAGGTGACTTGCATGAACCAGAAGCGATGTTTGAAGGAGGTGGAGAACAAGCAGGGGGAGGTGGAAGTGGAGTAGGAGGTAGAGATTCAGCACGAATTGTGGCTGGAGAGCTTGGAGGAGGAGTAACAGGACAGATCGGTGGAGGGGGAGTAGTAGGACAAGCTGGTGGAGGAGGAACAGGGACCGCGGGAACTGCAGAGGATTTGGCAGTGGTGGAGCCTTGTGCTGCAACATGTGCACGCATTCTCGCCAAGCTATCCATGGAACCTGGGGAACTCCTTCCATACTCATCTGCAGATGACTGAGCTTCTGATCCACCTTCTCAGCCAGCCTTGTTCTTGAAGAGTGACCTACCAGAAACATGATAGCTAGTAGAGTCAAATGATATAAAGAAATACGTACATGTTCCACCACTTCTTGAGTTCCCCTACCTAATCTGTATCTCCACAGTTGCGAATGAAGTCGATGATATTGTGGTAAAACTCCAGGTAGTTGAAGTTGCTGTTGATATCTGACCATTTATTCTGCATGCTGATTCCAAAATGTGCCTGCAAATTAAACAGTGTGAGACAGCATTTGCTAGTAAACTAGGACTTACCTGTACACAAGCATAAGCAATATGCTCTGCTTCGACAGTTGTCATGTTGTGTAGCATGACATTACAAGTTCGCGTCGCCCATGAGTCTTGACCTAGAGCTGTAGATGGGCCCATAAATATATGCTGTATTACCTTGACACATATTAGCATGATATCAATGACAATATCAAAGAAAAAACTTACACATTCAATGAGATAGCCCTGGAGGAGGCCTTCTGTCATAGCGTTGTTGTCGTAGTCACATCCGGGGGGGTTCCCAGACCAAAGGAATGTGGGAAAGTCATCTGTGGTCAGGCAAATTCCACCACTGGCAAGCTTCTTCTGGCCCCTGAGGAATGTGAATATCAGTAAGAACATACTATATAGAACAATACATACTCGGCTGGGTCTCTGTTGAATTCGGCGAGATGCGAAACAGGACAGAGATAAGACGCTAACACAGGGTGGTTCACATCCAAATGCGATCTTGAAGGATTGCCATTGTAGATAGCAGGTTTTAAACCACCTGTCAGATGGAATCGGCGCAGCATAGTGTCCTATTTGAGACTTCAAAGGAGCCACATCATCTGATTGTGTCGCACTGATGACTGTATTCATCTATTATAGGTATAAGTATAGCATATATGCACAGATAAGTAGCATATACTCACCTTCTGAGTGACCTTTGTCAGTTCCCTGGCCTTGGTGCGATCATTAATGAGTGATCAGATACTTGGAGCCAAGTGGAGTAATTGTTGATAGTTCTGTGTGTATTGATCACAAGTCTTTAATGACCTAGATATATGTATCATTAGCCAAAGAAAAGGTTTCAATGAAAATGGACTTACATACATAGCAGAGAGTCTCCTCCTGTGACTCTCTTTCTCGGCCTCGGATTCATCAAGCTCTCCCTTATCTGTGGCTTCCTCCTGCTAAAGTAGACAGCTGATCTTGATGAGTTTATCAACCTTACAAAACAAGTCGACACAATGTGTGATGCCACACGCAGCCACCAAGTACTCCTCGTGGGATCTGCCTTGGATATCTTGGATTTCCTAATAGTGATGCAGAAATATTAATTTGATCCTGATAGATAGGATCAAACTTACTTTGATTTTGAAGCCTCCTTGTTGGTGCTTGAGCATATGCATTTCTTCACTTGCTTTCTTGGGGGAGGAGTACAAGAATCTTTGGAAGAACTCAGCAAGCTACTTTCGCTACTGGACGATGTCAAAGATTGAGAGGAAATCAAGATTGATCTGGAACATTTTTTATGTGCCATGAGGATGATAGTGGGAGTATGAGATTAAGATATCAAGATTCTGTTTCTCATACAGTGTTGCGTGTGTCATAGTAATTTCTGCATGTGATATCAAACCATCACATGATTGATCAACATGCACAACACAACAAGTCCAGCCTGCTTTTACTACTATTGCGACTTAGTACTAACTACCCTACATGTGTAACACACATCTCAACATATAGATTCTGGTCATCCTGCAGTATCAACACTGCAGCCATCTGGATCAAGGTAATAATCTGATGCATGCTGTAGACTTGTACTGATACCACTTTGCAGAGTATCAAATAATCGGATATCCGTCTTAGGCCTGCCCTGGTTGGATACTTGAGGATCAGGACTGGTAGTAGGTGCGTTCACTATGTCCTTTATATGTTCCAGAATGTTAATTACCTATGTAGGTCTGTACTGTTCTCATGGTTTGCAGGTGTGCTATGTCATTCTATCTGTATTCTGGTATGCTAATTACCTGTATAAAGCTTCGCATCTCTAGGTACTGCATCATTATACTGTGTAGCTAGATCTACATAGTGAAATATAAATACTCTACTGCTCTTCCATGTTCGAGTCCCTTGAGTCCCTCCAGTCCTTTGAGTTCATCTTGTATGGATGACCTTACTTGTTTGGGTTGTGTGAAGTCTTTCGCAACTCAAAAGCGCTTGAGTAGTCACGAAGCTCAGTGTGCTGCTAACAAAACTCTAGATACTGATATTTACAAGAGTCAGCAGCACCTTGAGAAGGAGAAGTGCAAGAAACAAAAGTGGAGAAGACTTCGGGAAGTGTCTCGGTCACCAACACTCCAAGAAAAAACTCCCCCTGCTCACAACTTACCTCCTGTGGATGAACAGATGGATATTGACGATGGATGGTACAATACTGGCGAGGTAAGGGTATAATGTTCTGAAGTTCATGTGCTCATCCTCATTAGGTTAAAAATGATGCATCGGGACCTTCTAATGCTGGTCCCTCTAGCATTGTATCAGATCCACTGGTTGATTCTACGGTCTCTGTCTGCTCTGGTCGATGAATACGAATGCCGGCGCAGGTAAATGGATTATATCCCAGGGATGGGAATCTACTTTGCACATATGGCCCATCAGGCTCGTAACCAGCCCTCTGTTCCATCTGCATCACCACCCCTACCTCAAGAAGAACCAGGAACCCCTCCTGCTGCTGTTCAAGACCAGCCCACACTCGTCCCTTACAAGACTCAACCTGATTCAATGGGTCTCTTCCGCATATACGCGCAACATCCCACTTTGATACTGATTGGAAATGAAGGCCTGGATGTGATTGCTGATGCTCCGACCTTCGAAACTCAGGGCAATTCTCATTTGGAGCGATCTCAGATCATTCCTGGACTTCCCTCCTCAGATATTTGGCCTGAAGATATTTTTTCTGCATTCAGTAGTCCAACACCAGGCCTTCTCTTTTGTTGGCAATACTCTGGATCTAACTCTAAGTCAAATGCTGAAATGAAATGCCTAGCATCGGATTTTCTCGATGACGATGAATACAGGAGAGAAGATGCACGAGCTTACGACACTGTATGTGAGAAGAGGCTTATACAGGACTATCTTAAGGATAGATCTAATCCCTTCCACATGGAGAATGGCTGGCGCTGTTCTTCAGTCAACATTCGCCTGCCCAAGGAAAAGGAGAAGTTCGCATCAGAAGAAGAAGCTCCAGAAATGGAGATTCCAGGTGTTTATCACCGCTCCCTCACTGACATCATTGTGTCCGTTGTAGAGACTCGTGCATCTCATAGTGTGATATGGCGCTTTACACTAGGGAGTATACAGCACCAACTCGCAGCATCACTCTGTGTACCATCCACAGTGATTCCTATATGACGCGCAGCTTTCCCGCGCAACGCGCGCCATGCGCGCACCATTCCCACGCTTCACGATGTATACGCGCGCGCGCGTTCCCGCGCTTGCGCGCCCTATAGCGCCAGCCATCCAGATGCATCCATCCACTGTCCACCAAGCTCCCTAGTGCGTATATTTCCATTTCCTTTATTAGCATAGTTCCACCTTTATTTTTATCATAGTTTCTCACTCATATATATTTTTACATACCTACTCGGTAGCGCTTCGGCTCCGCATGAGCGCGCTTAGGCGCGCTATATAAGCGCCAGCAGTACATACTATTATTTACCTTACTTTTCACCCAACTTTACCTAGTACTTACTACTTAGAAAGTCGCAGTAGAAATCTATTCATTAGCACAACACATCTCACATCCTTTATCTTGCTTATATCTTCACATAAGTTTAGTCCCTCTTATTTCCGCTTACACGCGCGCGCTTTCCCGCGCTTCGCGCTAATACGCGCGCGCGTTCCCGCGCCTTCGTACCTTGCGCGCACCTGCGCTTTCTCGCGCTTCGCTGAAGCGCGTACCTCTAGATCTCCGCTGCACCTGCTTCCCCTTTAGGGTCGAATGCACTTGCCATCTCAAGTATCGCAGACTAGGCAACGCACGACCTACAACTTTTTAGATACAGTCAGGAGCATTTCTTTGTTCCTCTCAGTATTGTTGTTTCTACACCGTCTTCCAGGACAGTATTTCAGGTACCTTCCACATGACGCTGTAGAGACTCGTGCGTCTCATGGTCTGATATGGCGCTTTACACTAGGAAGTACATAGCACGAACTTGTAGCATCACTCTGTGCACTACCCACAGCTATCTCTATATGACGCGCAGCTTTCCCGCGCCATGCGCGCACCATTCCCGCGCTTCGCGATGTATACGTGCGCGCGTTCCTGCGCTTGTGCGCCCTATGGCGCCAGCCATCCAGAAGCATCCATCCACTGTCCACCAAGCTCCCTAGTACGTATATTTCCATTTCCTTTATTAGCATAGTTCCACCTTTATTTTTATCATGGATTCTCACTCATATATATCTTTACATACCTACTCGGTAGCGCTTCGGCTCTGCATGACCGCGCTTAGGCGCGCTATATAAGCGCCAGCAGTACATACTATTAGAAAGGGACTTTTACCTCCCAATTACTAGTTATCACTTACTTACTACTTAGCAGAATATAGTAGAAGTCTATTTGTCTATACTTCGCATCTCCCTTCTCTTTTCTTGCATTATATTATCACTTGAGTCTAGTCTTTATCATTTTCCGCATACGTGCGCGCGCTTTCCTGCGCTTCACGCTAATACGCGCGTGTGTTCCCGCGCCTTGCGTGCACCTGCGCTTTCTCGCGCTTCGCTGAAGCGCGTACCTCTAGATCTTGGCTGCACTCGCTTCCCCTTTAGGGTCGAACACACTTGTCTCCTCAAGTAACGCAGGCTAGGCAACGCACGACCTTCAACTATTATAGATACAGCTAGGAGCATTATTGTTCCTCTCGGTATTGTTGTTTCTACAACGCCTCTCCAACAGCAATGGAACACATCAGAGGAACACACAATGAACATTTATGGTGAGGCATGTTCTTCACCTGCCTTTCTGGAAGCCTATGAAGAGATCAATTCCCTTCCTCGAGATGCTGATGATGATCTTTAGCAGGTTGTTGCTTCGCTGATGTTGTGGTCGGATGCCACTCATCTTGCAAGTTTCGGTGATGCATCTCTCTGGCCAATCTATTTGTTTTTTTGGTAACCAGTCCAAGTATACACGAGGCAAGCCAACAGTGTCAGCATGTCATCATGTGGTATATATTCCTACTGTGAGTTGCTTCTCAGAAGATCACCATTTGAATTTGCTTATCAACCTTGTGATCTTAGCTTCCAGATCATTTTCAAGACATCTACATCGGTGTTTTTGGCGAGGCGTCTTCAAATGATATACCTACACTCATTGTAAATGCAAGCTTATGCAAGCTATCTGGGCACTTTTGCTCGATGACAAGTTCATGCACGCATATAAGTATGGCATCATTATTTGATGCAGAGATGGGATCACACAACGAGTATTCCCTCGCTTCTTTAGTTATTTGGCCGACTATCCTGAAAAGTAAGATTTTCATATCAATCTCAGTATCTGATCTTAATTGTGTTATTATGCAGGATCCTGCTTGCATGTATCAAGTTTCTCGGTGAATGTCTGTGTCCTCATTGCCTGATCAAGAAGGCCGATATTCCCAAGATGGGAACAAAACTCGACCTGAAGAGGAGGAAGACAAATCAACAGATCGATGATGTATCTCATTGTGATCGTATCGAGCGATGTTGGGCACTTATCTTTCAAAAAGGTGTTGGTATCAACAGCCAACATGTCAAGAACTTTCTGCAGGAGGATTCACTTGTCCCTACTCGTGTAAGTGTTGATTAATGCTAGCATTTCATTATAAACTAATATTGTGTAAGAACACCTTTTCCAAGCGCCTTGCCGACTTCGGATTCAAATTATTTTTGATGTTCGTTGTCGACCTTCTGCATGAGTTTGAGCTTGGGGTCTGGAAGGCCATTTTTATGCACCTTATGCGTATTCTTTTTGCTGCAGGTGGAACAGCTATCCAGGAACTCAATTGGTGGTATGGGTATTAGATAGTGAATCTGGAGTGAGGAACTTTAGATCGATGAAGAAAAGGTTTCCAATCATGGGGAGACTGCCGAGTACGTTGTTGTGATGGACCAGCTCACAGTGTGCTGGGTCTGGCTTAAAGTTGCACCCCCAGCCCTTTTGCAACATGTGGCCGACAGAGAGTAGATTAATGAGTGCACCAGGTGCGTGAAGGCAGTGTGTGAGACGAACACGGCTTACTTGGCCATTGATGGTAAGTTTGGCCACACAATCACCGCGACCCAATGTGGCAAGTGTCCCATGATTGGCGGTTTTAATGGTTACTTTAGCCTTCTCGGAGTATGTCCAAAAAACGTCATGATTGGTAATGAGAGTTGATGTGGTGCCTGAGTCTAGAATGGTGGACAGAGCCTGTCTCGCTATACATGCTAAGTCTTTGGCACTCATTGAGGAATCGTCCGGACTGATTTCCATGATCGTCACACAAGCTAACTCTCCTTGCGGTTGAGAGGATAAATTTGACTCAGTGGAAAAGACTTGTGGTGTCTCAGGTTTGGACTCCATTGCTGATGCAGCAACATCCTTCTTGGCTTTGTTTCCTTTTCTGTTCCACATGCTCTTGGTACCCTCCGCACCTCCACCTGGTTGAAGACAATGTTCCCTGTCGTGTGTCAAGGAACGAGGTAAGCCAGTGCAGACGGGGTTGTCACAAGGCACCCCCTTGGGATTATACTTGTGAATTCTGACACCATTCACAGGATTTGTCGTCCTGGATTCTCCTCCGAGTGATGAGTGGGGCCCACTGGCCGTGTTAGCATATTCAGATCCGGGCTTCGCCATCTTAAGTTGACTGCGTTGGCGATTGGCTTCCTCCGAAAAGGAGGTAGCAATGGTTTGGAAGGTGATCTTTGGTGGAGCAGGAGTGGATGTTGTTGTAGTGGAGGTGCTAACTGAGGGTTTGGAGAACATTCCGATGGTGAGTCCTCGAAACACGATCCATTGTGGCAAGTCAGGTAACCCGTTCAGCAACATGAATATAGCTTCCTTGTCCGTGAACACTATGCCCATTTCAGCAAAACGATGTCGGCCATTCTCTAAGACTCCGAGGTAGTGTGGGGCATCCTCTGCATCCTTGAGCCTTTCGGAGAACAGCTGTGAGCGAAGCTCAAACTGCGAGGTGACGTCTAGGCGCGAGAAACACTGAGCCAAGACATCCCACTGTTCACGGGCTGAGAGGGATTCGTCGAGCATGTTCTGGACGACTGGAGAGAGTTTGCGGCTGATGATAGCCTTTGCCTGTGCGTCCTCCTTGGACCATTCCTTCATATTCTTCAGTTCGTCAGCAGTAGGCTGAGCTGGGGTAGCAGCAACAGGGAGAGCACTCGCATATTCTGCAAAGTTATTCAGATCGGTGCCTACACTACAATGGTTCCACAACCCTTCGCCAGTGAGTGCAAGCTTGACCAACCTGCGCCAACTGGAGTAAGTGTCAGCACCTGTTAACTCGATGATGTGATCAAGTTTTCCCATGTTAGCAGCGAGCGTGTGTGATAGTATCCTTCGATATGTTCATCGAGTTCTAGTCCGTAGTTTCTGAGCTTTATGGCTCAGGGCTCATAACCTGTACGAAGGCTAGAACGGAGGTCTCAGTGTGATGTTAGGACAATGCTTGAATGTACTCAATACCTAGAACGGAGGTCTAGATGGCACATGAGTGAATATGAGTATGTGCGAGAGAGCTGCTAAGTGGTGCTCACCTCAGTGTGATGTTAGGACTACGCTGAGGTGAGATGATGTGAATGGCGCTACTGATATATGAACATGGCGGATCTGTGGCTGTGTCAAAGGTGGTACTGTATAGTACGTAGCACAAGGTCCATATAAGTTGCAACCAGGTGGTCCGGGCTATGAGCTGGTGTATGGTGCAACGGCAATCGTGCCATATCTGAAGTCGTTGACGCCAGAAGATGATCTTGTAGCATCTTTCAGCGCAATCGCAAACCACGAGCAAACCCTTCTGACACCTTTACTCCGCTTTTTGACGGACGCAAAACAAGTTGACAGAGGTGTTCGCATTGTGGGGAGAAGCGAGATCAATCTCTCAAGAGTTCCCACTGTCAGCTTTGTTGTTGTCGGACAGAACGCGATTAAGAGCAAGGATATCGTAGGAGCGTTTGACAAAAAAGGAGGGGTAAGTCCGACTTTCAATGATCTTATTGTATTCGATTATGCATGTTGCACAGATCGGAATTCGATACGGCCACTTTTACGCGTATTCTCTCATTGACAATCTACGGCCAAAACTAGATGTGAATGATGGAGTCGTCCGCATCTCACTTGTCCACTATAACACCGTCGAGGAAGTGGAGAAGATCTTGGACGTTTTGAGGGAAGTTTTGGCTTGAGCGATAATGTAAAATTATGTCAACATGTATGTAACTATGATATATCTTGGAACGTTCTGGAGATGTATTTTTCTAGTACAGTGCATCAAAGGTGCCCAATGCCCATGTAATCTGGAGCCTGGAGGGTTGAACTTGCTGCCCTCGATGTTGCTTATCTCAGCACGGACTCATTTCCCTTTACAAATGCTGCAGTGAAGTCACTGTCTAGTAGTATCTACTGCCTGCAGGAGGCTATCACATCATACGGATACAATAATTGCTTCGCCCGGTTGATCGACCACGTCGTTGTATATGATATTGGCTACTATAACGATTTTGGTTTCGCCCATACCATGCATCCAGCATTCAACGCTATGTCCTCAATCTTGTCGACCTTTTTCAAAATGGCTGGATCCAAGGGATACAGTCACGCATATATTTTAAAACTAGTGAGTCTTGGCTCGCATCGCAAGTCCTCGTCATACTCACTGTATTCTTGCCAAAGCATGCTATTTTGTACGTTCCAGGCGCAGGGTAATGCAATATATTCCATCACCTACATCATGACGATTGGGGTTATGTGATCTCAATACCGTCGAAACACACCAGGGAGCTTCCTATGAACCGAAAAGGAGCCAGATTTAATGGTATCCCTCAACACAGTAGGCACCAGGGCGGGAAGAGTTGAACGAGAGCCCAGTCACACGATGGCGCACAGAATCGAATGCCACTGCAACTCTTGAGGCTACAAGAAGTTTGTCCATTCTCCTCACGAGTCAGTATCCAAGGATTCTCGGGGTGGGATTTGTCATAATTCAGCAAGATACATGTCAGCCCTCCGAATCTACGTGTTTGTTAGCCGGTACGTCTTCTTTGACACTTGACAATATATGCGCCAATTCATAAAGTGTAATAGACGGTTGGACTCTCCGCGGACGCGTACCAGACCTGTCCCAAGCTGTCTATAGATATACGCAGCCGGCCTTTCTTTCAGTATTAACCAGTGTGGTCGACGTTCGAGTTCACCCAATACGCACGGCACATACTGCTCCGTCGCCCCATAGTTCATACCCAGAACCACCATCTTCCGGGGAAAACTCCAAACGCACAGACCCTGTCGAGCACCACGGGATGTCACCCGTTCCAGAGGGTGTCTCACATCCCAACATACTCTTACTTACTCCCAGACGTCTCACAGATTTATCATCTGAAAGCCCTTGGAAGATCGAGCTCATCTCCATCTACATAGATTTCTGACATCACTGTTTTTGTGCTAGGCAGGTAGGAAAGAACGAAATTTTATCATTTTTGTCGTATTCTGATTATTCATTATAGTTCATATCTCTATCAACGTTCACGCTATTCGTCATTTATTGTGTAATTCTTGTGCTTTTTGTACGAACAATTGGACAGTTGCAACTTCGTGTCTGTGCGAGGGTATAATCAGTTGTTTGATGCGGGGAGATATATAAAAGATAGACGCCGTGTGTAGCTGTTGTGTGGAAGCTGTATATGTAAGAGCCCTTGCTTCGTATTCGTTCGTTCGTTATCATATCTCGCCACCATCTCGTTTTGTACTACAGTACAGCTTTCACGATAAACCAAATCACCTCTACTTCAGGACGCACATCAAGATCTCCCAATGGCGACCATCGATGCCCAGGAGCTCAGAGAAAGCATCGGACGCTTTCGAGTTCTGATCGTAGGGAGAGCAAACGCAGGCAAAACAACCATTCTTCAGAAGGTTTGCAACACCACAGATCAACCAGAAGTTTACGATGCCAAAGGAAACAAGGTGCGGGTGATGCTCTATGCCATGCACGCGTCTATCGCTGATCAATCGTGGGTAGATCGATGCTGGCGTCGTGGAAGCCTCGATCAAGGTGCGTGCACCATTTGCCCTATGGGCATACCGTACATGCGCTGACGGATGCTCAGCGCGGAAATCACGACATCACGAACGAGATGGTGTTTAAAAGTAATTCCGGTTTCGTCTTTCACGACTCGTGCGGTTTCGAAGCGGGATCCGAAGAAGAATTCGAGAGCATGAAGAGATTTATCTCAGAGCGCGTACATGCGACAAAACTGGAGGAGAGAATCCATGCTATCTGGCAAGTAACTACCCTCTGACGTTGGACGCTTGTTGATTGCCATCAGGTATTGTATTCCAATGGACGAATGCTGTCGAACATTCCAGCGGTCGGAGGAGAAGTTCTTCCTTGAGTGCGACACCGGGCACGGTGAGCTTGCCACCTCATCGTCAGTTGTCGTGCTTGGACTAAACGATCAATCTTCAGTTCCCGTGATCACGGTGTTCACCAAGTTCGAAGCTCTCCGTCCAGTAGCGTATGGAGAAATCAAGAAGGAAATAAAAGGTGTATCTGCAGAAGAACGCTCAGAAAGGATAGCCCAACGCGTTGAAGAACTGTTCACTAAGACAGGTGTTTGTGATCGGTTGTGTGACCCTGAAAACCGCACGCGTCCTAAGTTTCATGTGCGCTTGGAGAGTAAGTGGTCTAGATTGAGTTGTCTTATGTCAAAGTTGATATTAGTGACCGACCTAGATATGAACAAGCCGAATACAAACTGCAACACTCTACTGGAACGCACGACTTTCGCGTTGGACAACGACGAATTGCGATTGTGCTTGGTGTCAACACAACAATCAAACTTGGAGCTTTGCATCAAGTGTGCCGTCGTGTGAGTGGCAAATTTTCAAGTCACATATTTGTGTTCCAACATCATCTAGAACACTCGTTGATCGCGCACATCAGCAATCTGTGCTACGTCAGGTCGATTATGAAGTCAATCAATATGCCATTGCTAAGTGGTTTGCACATCTCCAAGTAAGACGAGGATTCATTCAATCTAACAATACCCTGGTAATGGTGCTCATAAATGGTAAACACTGAAGTGCTGAAATTGCAGACATTCTAATATATATTTTCTTGATTGTAGTTGCCCATCGATCACAGATGGTATGTCTGTGGTTCGCGAAAATTGAACAGTATGAACAACGCTAATGCCCTGTGGCTGCTCGCCTGTTGACAGTCTGTAAGTACCTTGATTTTTTCTAGTCCTCGACCCGTGCTTATGATCCCCATCCCTCGCTGCTGCTCATCTGTTGACAGTTTGTAAGTGCCTTGGTTGTTTATATACCTGGACCTGTGCTCATGGTTCTCATCTCTTGCTGCTGCTCGCCTGTCGACAGTGGGTAAGTGCCTTGATTGTTTTTAGTCCTCGATCCGCGTTCATGATTCCCATACATCGCTGCTGCTCGCCTATTGACAGCGAGTAAGTGCCTTTATTGTTTCTAGTCCTCGGCCCATGCTCATTACCCCCAACCCTTGCTGCTGCTCTCCTGTTGACAGCGGGTAAGTGCATGGATTGTTTCCGATCCTCAACCCGCGCTCATCGTCCCCATCGCTCGCCGCTGCTCGCCTGTTGACAGAATGTCAGTGCCTTGATTGTTTCTGATCCTCAACCCGCGCTCATGATCCCCGTCTCTCGCTGCTGCTCACCTGTTGACAGAAAGTAAGTGCCTTGATTATTTCTAGCCCTCAACCCGTGCTCATTATCCCCATCCTTCGCTGCTGCTCGCCTGTTGACAGCGAGTAAGTGCCTTGATTGTTTTTAGTTCTCGATCCATCTCATGATCCCCATCTCTCGCTGCTGCTCGCCTGTTGACAGGGGGTCAGTGCCTTGATTTTTGTACTCCTCGGCGACCCGTGCTCATGATCCCCATCCCTTGCTGCTGCTCGCCTGTTGACAGGAAGTCAGTGTCTTGATTGTCTCTGATCCTCGTCCCGTGCTCATGATCCGCATCCCTCGCTGCTGCTCGCCTGTTGGCAGGAAGTAAGTGCCTTTTTTGATTTTTAGTACTCCTCGACCCGTGCTCATGATCCGCATCCCTCGCTGCTGCTCGCCTGTTAACAGTGGGTAAGTGCCTTGATTGTTTCTAGTCCTTGACCCGCGTTCATGATTCCCATACATCGCTGCTGCTCGTCTGTTGATAGCGAGTAAGTGCCTTTATTGTTTCTAGTCTTCAGCCCACGCTCATTATCCCCATCCCTCGCTGCTGCTCGCCTGTTGACAGTCTGTAAGTGCCTTGGTTGTTTCTAGTCCTCGACCCGTGCTCATGATCCCCATTCCTCGCTGCTGCTCGTATGTTGACAGAATGTCAGTACCTTGATTGTTTCTAATCCTTGCCCCATGCTCATGATCTTCATCTCTCGCTGCTGCTCGCCCGTTGACAGGAAGTAAGTGCCTCGATTGTTCTTAATCCTCCCACCATGCCCATGATCCTCATCCCTCGCTTCTACTCGCCTGTTAACAGTATGTGAGTGCCTTGATTGTTTCTGATCCTCGACCTGCGTTCATCATCCCTATCCCTCGCTGCTGCTCACCTGTTGACAGGTGGTAAGTGCTTGATTAGTTCTGATCCTCGACTCGTGCTCATCATCCCTATCCCTCGCTACTGCTCCCCTGTTGATAGGGGGTCAGTGCCTTCATTTTCTCTAGTCCTCAACCTGTGCTCATCATCCCCATCTCCCGCTGCTTTTCGCCTGTTGACAGTTTGTGAGTGCCTTGATTGTTTCTGATCCTTGTCCCATGCTCATGATTCCCATCTCTCGCTGCTACTTGTCTGTTGACAGCGGGTAAGTCCCTTGATTGTTTCTCATCCTTATAACCCTGATGCCTTGTTTCCCCCCGCCTGTCGACAGAAAGTATGTACCTTTCATTGTTTGTCATCCTCAGCCCATGCTGACCATCATTGCTGCTTATCTGTCGATAGGAGGTAAGTGTCTTGATGATTTCCTGTCTGCAGTCCATGTAGACAGTTCTCACATTTTGCTGATTTCTTTGGCAGGTGGTGGGTGTCTTGATTCTATCTTGTATTGAAATGATACTGAATAGCATAATCACGGTGACTCGATTTCATAGCCTGATGTAAGCATTTTCCATTTCATCACACGAGTCAGATCATCATTGCTCATATAATGTGTAGTTCGTTGAGTATCCCTCGATAACTTATTTTCCATGTTCGCTCATCTTCCATATTTTCTTGCCCTGTGCAGAATGTGAGTCATTTGACCCTGATCATGTGAAGCCATGAATGTGTCAATCATTTTGACTGGGTCTTCCGCTCTCTAGGATGTGAGTATGTTTCAATCGTCAAGGATTTCAGCAACGTAATTCCTTTTGTTTATCATGTGTTCGCAGAATGTATGTTGATCGCGGCCTATCTGATGATAGTACTCCACTGACAAACAATCTTATTTAGCTTGTACGTCCATAGAGGGCGAATCTTCACCATTGTATAGTGATACTCAACTGGTTCCAACCCCTGACAGTTTGTAAGTTACTCAAATTGTCTACAATCTGGTAATTAATTATTCGCAATTATCACGTCAACCATGTAGAAGGTGCGTCTCTGTTATTAATTAAATGTCAATTTGCCACCTCATTATTGTGACATTCCTTTCCTGTAGAAGGCAAGTACTTCGTTCTGTGCAGTTGATTCTGATACTCACACTTCCAACCTGTGGCTAGGCCAAAATCAGGCGAAGTGACATTATCCGCGTCCTCCAGCCTTTGGTAGGTTGGTTTTCCTTCCCATTGATTCTCGACACTAAGAGTGCGCAACAGGCTGTGAAGGGATCGATGTTCACTTCTGCTGCGAACAGAATTGTTCAGACTGGCATCGGTTAGTTTCTCACTGCCTGACCAGGCGTAGTCTTAATCACTGGAAGCAGCTACTGTCATCGTCCTCGAGCACTCCGCCTTTCTCGCGGACGACTTGGACGACTTGAAGTGCGTCGAGTCTGCCGTGGAATACTACCTGAAATCTCCGACAGCTATTGCAGTGGAGAAAGGAGCGGAAGAGATTTCTCGTCAAAGCTACGAGGCAGAGGAACTAGAGAAGAAGATTCTTGAGTTCATCCTTGAAAATCGCTTGTGTACGTCCCTCACCTTGTTGTGAACATGGAAGTCGGAGCTTACTGACAGCCTGCAGCGAAGGACTTGACACCACAGAAGTAGAAGATGCTCGAGCCAAGTTTCTTGTTTTTCGATGCGTGCTATGCGCCCGTGTTATGTACGACACCAAGTACGCCAGCTTCAACTCCTGAGCGCTAAGCAGTGCATACTGTGATGTTTCCTTGCTCTTCCCCATACTATGTACTAGATATGACACTCCAGTCTCAACTGCTGAACGCTGCAGACTGTATCGACTTTCAACGCTCGTTTTTCGGATCTAACGTATCATATCGCATTCGGTTGTTTTGTAGTTGCGCCCGTCAAATGATCGCTGTTCATTTTCATTTTTTCAATAATGATAATTCGAGAACTGGCTCGTATGCTTCAATGCTGAAGCGGAGGGGCATGACAGCTTACAACATTGTCAATGCTCGTCGGGACAGCATGCAGCCTGGGGGAGTAAGTTATGTCATGAAAATCTGGGAGAGATTTAGAACAGCATTATGTTATCATCTCGTAGTTGAACATGATTTCATTGTCTTGACGAAGGGGAAGACCTCGGACAGAAAGTGACACAGACGTATCGAGGCATTGACAGCATCATGAAGCGGTATGCTGTGGACACGACACGGTAGCGCCTGAATAAGTTGAAGTCGGATGGGAAAAGTAGACGATAGAGGCTACTAGCAGGCGCTGACGCACAGGACGAAATAGGAAAAGGAAATGATGGGGAAGAAGACCTCTCCTACCGAAGCTACCAAACGAAACCCTCCTCGTCACAAGAAACGGACGAACGGCTTTTAGTTGTCCACCTTTCCGAAATTGTCATTCAACCTGCTGTTTACCTTCGCGCATTTTATCAGTTTCTGGTCATACTCGTTTTTGCTCGCACCTTTCACTGCTGGTCGTTTATTGCACTTCGTTGTATTTTAGTATCATACACTACGATTAATAGCAAAGGTTAAAAACTCATCTAGGAAATACCGCTAATGTAGTCCGTCGGCTGAAGTTGAGTTCAACACGTCTACATGTTGGTCGAGGAGTCCTGAAAGCATTAAGACAAGTCGAAAAAGGAAAGCAACAGTTCAGGATGAATTATCACCACGAAACGTTCCTTTTTGCGTCATTGACCCGGACGACTAGCAACTGCAAAATCGTGGCGAGAATATGAGAGACGCGATCATGACTGAAACGGTGGACGTGCACCAACTATTTTCATGTGATGATTCCAGTTGCTGTTTCAACCGGAGCTTGAAATACCTTTGCGCTTCCACTGTCAGGATTGTTGTCTCTCCCATCGAGATGACGGGATATACAACGAGCAAGGCTGTCTGGCTTCCATCCCTTCCAGCTTAGCTGCCTTTTTCTTCACATGTCTGGACAATCGAAGCTGTATGAAGTCATGTAAAATGGCTGGTATGTATATGATATGCAGACAACGCACAATATTTAGCAGTTCTGCCTTTGCAATGTTCCTTGTGCAATTGTCCTCAGTTCCCCTCGAGCCGAATTTTGGAACCAGCACAAACAACCTAGCGGTCTCGAACCAAGCTGTATAATGATTCAGTTGCAGAGTTTTGTCACTCTTAGTGTGTACGACGAGCACGTAACGTACGTAACGCGCATCGGTTGTTGCATTCGCAATTTTGAACGAGTATAGCAACTATTGCATGTTGCTTGCAGACCGGTCATGCATACATGACTGGTCGACCAGTGCGTCCGAAACAGACATTCTCTGAATCTTGAGGTCGTTCTTGTTCACGTGATCTAAACACCTCCTAGTCAGCCCCCAAGAGTCTGGACATGTCAGCCTTGTATCATTTGGCTGGTCAGCCCACCCCGTCAGCCATGCACTCGTGACAATACAAAAGACCTGGGCTTCTGATCTTGACACTACATCTTCTAGATCCTGCATCTTATGTTCTTTCCCCGATCTTCTATCGCCGCACTTAAAGCCTTTGTTACCGTTCTTCTTCTACCTCAGTTTCACTACCCATCGACCATGCACGTCCAGAACCGCCCCGGCTCTACTTCGAGTTCCCTCTTGGCTCCACCAGACGCTCTTATCGAAGAAGATATCCTATCAGCTGGAAAGGCTCGTAGGCCTGGGCCGAAAGCTACACCTCGCCTGCGCACATCCAACACACACATACCTTTGCTTCCTAAACCTTACTACGGACATATTCCCAAAGCGCCTAAACCCGACGTCCACGTCTTCCTCCCTCCACCATATAGCGAGTCTGCATCATTCCTCGCCGTTCCAAATAACACACCTGCGACCACGCCACCCCCGCCTCCACTCAGTAGCAGTAGCAGCTCAGATGATTCTGTTATACTCAGTACGCCCAACATCTTTTCTGGCGGTCGATCAGGACTAGTGGGCCTCGGTTTCGAAGGTCTAGAGAAAGGGGGAGGTGGGGTATTTGACGGGCTCGGAAGGCTTAGCGAAAGCTTCAGGTTATCCGAATCCTCGTCTGGGGAAGAGGGATCCAGCCAAGTTCGGCCGAAAGCGGTTGTGCGGCCCAAGAAGAGACATGACGTATTTTTCCCGTGCCCACACCACTCTAGGTCGCTATCGCCTGTGTCGTTCTTAGCACGTGCACTGCCCAACACTGCGGTGATGCAGTTCCGAGTTCATTGTCGGGATGATAGCGGATCACCTACGCCTTGTATGAAGCATGATCCTAGTAGGAGCACGGTGTCGACTGAGTTGAAGCGAGCTGCTGGAATGGAGCGTCGGGCATCGTTGCGTCGGTGTAGTAGTATGAGTGGATGGCGGTAGTAGTAAATATGGACAAATAAGTTACTTTTGTGACTAGTTGTCAAGGAGATGAATGCACGTTGGGTGTGTCCTTGGAGAGTTACTCTTTCAGAAAGTCATTTTGACTTTTCTTTCTTTTTTTTTGTATTTTTTGCCTTTCTTTCGAGCAGACATAACAGACAAAGCCGGTCTTTTGTCTAAAAGGAAAGGACAAGCGAAATTGACGAGGTACTTATATAAGTATACTGCCACGACTAAACCACGACCGTCCAAACGAATAGTATGCAAAAAGGTATGTAGGCGACGACCACAACGATGACGACGAGGGGGCTAAATAATCGTTTAGATCAAGCTGCTCTACGTTCTTCCCCTCCATTTCCATCACCAGGTTCTTCATTTCTACCACCTCCCACACCTGGACCACATGAATTCGCTCGTAGGAAATCATCAAAGAAAGATTTTGAAGACGTTACTACCGCTGCCAATGGCCTCAACAGCGGTCAGGCCACACCAAACGGCGCGGTAAGTCCCCAACGAGCGTCTCTGGCTTTCTTCCGCTCCTTCCTTCCGCGCTTTATCATTTCCATACTGAACGTTCCTCGTTCTCTCTTCCACCTACTACCCTTCCAGGAATCAACTCCAACAACAGAATCTCCGAGTACATCTTTTCTAGATCCTCCTCCTCGATTGTTCGACTCCCACGATACAGAAGACCACAGCCACCGTCTAAGCACCCATTCCGTCACTTCTCTTACCTCCTCCCGTCCCGCACCACCATCACCAGCAATCTCCCGTCGTGCATCAGGCCTATCCCGTACCTCCTCAAAATCTCGTTCTCGCCCAGTCTCAGACGCCAATTCTCGCATACAACGCCCCATATCCGCAGCACTCTCCCCCAATGCAGCACTCTCTCGCACACCCAGTGGACGTCGTATCAAAGATATCCTCGGCATGTCAGCAGTAACAGAGATCAAAGGCAAAGAACCAGATATAGCACCCACCGAGACTAGAATCCTCATTAAAATCCGCGACTATGCGTTTACGCCTTCAGATCCGCGATTTTCTGGTGAAGGGTCGAATGTACCCCGTGCAAATCGTCCCAAAGTCCTTGCTCGCCGTTTGCGCGGGTCGTCCTCGTCGACGTCCTCTTCGATTTCCACGTCATCAGCAGAAGAGGAAGACGAGCAGTGGGAAGATGAGAATGATAACAATGGTTGGGGAGGTTTCAAGTGGGGGTTTCAGAAATTGCAATCTGGTTGGGGCCTTGGCTCGCATTCATCCTCTTCCGAGGACTTTCCTTCGAGAACTGACTTTGCCCGTAACTTTGGAGATGGAAGTGGTGATGATGAGAGTGAGGTGTATGAGGAGCCAGATGAGTTTCCTGAGAATCAAGACGAAGATGAGGAGATGGAGGGAGAGCCTATGTTAAGCCCTGGCCTTTACCGTGCACTGTATTCCTTCGAGCCAGAAGGAACTGCGGAGATGAAACTTGATGAAGACCAGATCGTCCGTGTGGTCGGACGAGGCGGTGGAGTTGGATGGGCCGTGGTTGTGAAAGAGGACACTGGTTCGCATGCCCTCGTACCGGAGAGTTATCTAGAGGTCGTCAAACTGGACGGGGACGATTAAGACTGAGAGTTCGTGCAGGCACGAGCTACGTCGTTTGTATCTTCTATCATCTTCGTTCTTGCGATCACTTTCTTACGCTTGCTATTTCTTTTGTATGTGGAACCCTTGTCATTTATCTGCTGCATCCTTTGTTTGCATTACATTTTCCGATATTTCTGATAATAATAATCAAATCCGTGTATATCGGTTGCCTGCCATCAGTCGACACGACAGATGATTTCACCGTGTAAGATCGCGAACCAGCCATCCTCTGATTTACCCCATTCCGTCCATGTATCTGCGATTCTATTCAGCTTCTCCTCGTCTGCAAGGCCACTCTTGAGCGCCATCGTCTTGAAACTCGACGAAAGCGTCCGATCAGCCCACAGCCGACTCCACCACTCCCGCTCGTCAGGGGTACTGTAACACCACGTCCCAGCCGAAGTCGTGATCTTGTCTCTCGCAAACCCTGCTCCCAACGCCCAACTCACCAACCTCCTCCCCGCATTAGGTTCTCCCCCATTAGCACGCGCCACAAGCTGATACGTATCCGTCCACTCCGTCATCCCAGCAGAAGCAGGAAACCAAGTCATCGCCGCAAAATCCGTCTCTCTAACAGCAACGATCCCTCCAGGCTTCGTAACAGCCCTCATCTGCATCAGAGCCTCCGATACCCTCTCCCGATCGATATGCTGCAACACCTGATGCGCATGCACGATATCAAATTGACGATTTTTAAACACCTCTTCTAGTTGAAAGATATCCCCGATTTTGAACTCTACGTTCGTGATCCCTCGCGATGCGGCTGTTTCGCGAGCTTGGGTGAGGATGTCTCCGGGGGAAGGCTCGATGCCTGTGATGTGTCCTGTGGGCCCGACGAGGGTGGCGAAATCGAGGGTGATGGTGCCCGGCCCGCAGCCTATGTCGAGGATGTGCATGTTTGGTTGTATGTATGGCAGGAGGTAGGATGCGGAGTTTTGTACGGTGCGCCAGCTGTGGGAGCGTAGGACGGATTCATGGTGTCCGTGTATGTAGATTGCGGTGGTTTCTGGCATTTGATCTCTGTGAGGGGAAGGTTAGACGCTCCGAGTCAGTCAAAAACACAGGGGTTGTGTATGTCTGTTTGTGCGACCTGAGAGGCTATAGGCTACTATCCCTTCCACTGCAATCGGCACCCCACAGAAGTCGGCAGTCACGCAAATGTCACTGTGAGTCATGATATGTCACGTAGGCCAATTTTAAAGTCAGTTCGGCAGTCAAGCAAGTGGGCAAGGTCAATGAATATTCGTTCGAATGAGCAAGTATAGTATTGAATAGTAGATATACATAAGTACGAGGGCGACTGTTATTAGTGCCATAGTTGTAAAATCAAGGTGGATACATAGGGAGACCATGTGCATTGTAACATGACAAAACCCCACTCACATTCTGTTCTTTTGCTGCAGTATAACCCATTTGCAATTCTCTGAACTGGAACCTGAATGCGTGGCTCATATGTCGGGTCTGACGAAGCTCGCAGCTTTCCTCGTCTACTGCTGCTAACTTAAACTTGCGAATGCGGACTAGGGCTCCATGAAAAACTCGGCTCGAGGTTTATGACATGTTTTTAACTCAGGCCTATCCTCGAGGGGTTTTTGACACGAGTTAAAAACTAGTTTTTGACAAGTTTTTTACACAGTCTAGAAACCAGTTTTTCAAGCTATTCTAACATGTTTGAGCTACGACAAAGTGAATGCCTATTGTACAGGCCCTCCCAAAGGCAACATCGAAGTATCAGATTCATTCTGTGGAGGTGCTGTGTGGGAGCCTTCTAACAAGGCATGTACCCACTTTCTTCTTTGCAGACTTGTAGTGATACACTGCAGCACGCCATAGATCCTTGGCCCATTTTTGGAGCAATGCCAACTCTGGAAACTCCTCCAATGTAGCAGTAAGGACATCCACAACAACAATGAGGCCAGGCCCACGCTCTTGAAACTCGAATGGACAAGGTGCAGACTCATCCTTGCGGCCCTTTGGTGCAAAGGTGACTTCTAACACATTATTCAGTGCTGCTTCTGCACTGCCGTATAGCTCAACTTTCTCTGGATTAGGTGCGAGGTTCTTAAAGTGATACCTGGAGTTACCCAGAGGGATGCAGTCTGGGAGGTGAGTGAGCATAGCTCGTAGGTGCTTGAGCTGTGAATCATTGTTGGCAATGGTGGTGAAGAAACTCGTGGGTGGTAGTGTGCTTGCATTCAATGGGGGCTCAAATTATTCTACTTTTTTGATATTTTGGGATTTTCGGCCACTCGAATGTCAAAGTATGACATGACTTGTTCCGAAGGCATCAGATACATGATACATACAATATTTAGGGTTATTGACAGGTATTTGACACCTGAATATCAACCTCCGTTCTTGACATGTTTTTAACATGTTAAAAACACGTTAAAAACCCGGAGTGTTTTTAACATCGTAGTTTTTCACGGAGCCCTAATGCGGACGCGCAGCGCTGCACCAGTCGGCACTTCCAAAGTGGGGGTGCAATTTAAAACTCCGTCATGGCATGTATCGGCAGGTGACATTTCTGCGTGACTTCGGCACTTTCGACTATCTCACTCAATTCTGCTTTAATTGTGGTCGTTCAACCTCGTAATGAGTTGTATTAGAGAGAGAATGATACAGATGTTAAGAATTTTGTGTTTAAGTAGCTAGAAATATGAGTTTTGTGAAAGTGCCGACTTCTGTGGGGTGCCGATTGCAGTGGAAGGGATAGTAGTATAAGTGGCGTGGACGCCAATTATCACACGCTTACGATATTCCCAGGATAATGTGTTTCTTGACGGCTCTGGCAGGGTCTACCTGTAGTGTCGTGGGCAGAAGTAAATTAGCCTCTCGGCAGTTGGCAGAATGGCAGTTGGCAGAATGGCAGAAGTCGGCAAAATGTATTGTGAGTGTTTTTAGCTCTTTTCAGCTATGTTTATACTATGGCAAAAATAGTTTCAACTACTACATCGAGGCTATGCCTTCTGACGTCAAAAGTGCATCAACATTCCACCCTGATACATCGTTTGAGCTTCGATTGAGTACCTCAGTCTCTTTAACGAAGCCAGTTGGTGTGATACCTTTGTTAACCCTTTCTAGCTCACTCCAGTCAACGAGGCCGCCATCCAGAACATCTGGCACATCACCTGCAAACAAACTACCGCTTGCCTCATCATTTTCTCGCGCTTGGCCAGCCTCCCGCGTCTCACGCTCGAATCTTTCAAATCCATCCACCAACTCCTCATCTGTAATTGATTCCGGACCTGCAAGATAATCCTGGTCATCAGAGTCTGTTGCGAGGGGAGGGATCCATGCAAATGATCTTTGTAGCTCGTCAGCGAGAGCAATGTCGAGTCCGTTTTTTTGTAGCAAGGTAGCCACGAACTTCTGCGCGAGTACGATCAGGGGCATTGGGACATGTTTTTTGGTTAATTAAATGTTTGAGATGGTTATCATCACGGCCCTCAATGGATGCCGAGCAGTAGTTGCATGACTCATGTGAAGAAGTAGCGGTTTGAGTTGTTTTTGACTTTCTCCCCAATAACAGAGTGGTCAGACACAAGTTTTTGGACAGGACAGCCCTTGGACTTTGAGGCCATGGTAACAACCACCAAGATACATTCTAAGTTTTCTAACATATGTCAAATTTTTACTGTTTGTTAGTCGGAACAAATACTAGGTCATAATATTTCTGCCGACTTCTGCCAACCACCTTCGACCTACTGCCGGCAATTGCCACTTGGCAATTGCCACCGGCAGAATGGCAGCATTCTGCCAACAACACTATCTACCTGGCTCACTTTGGTCGTCTCTCCAATATTTTTGCCTGAGGACAAGCCCCTATATCTGGTTCCTTTGAACTGAGGTACATAGCGCCCGAACTCCTCACCCCTGTTGTAGATGCAGGGGCCTCAAAATCGAGTAAGGCTGGAGATATTTATTCGTTTGGCTGTCTCATGATCCAAGTGTGTTCTCACACTATTCCAAGCCCCCATATCACCTGATATTCCCTAGGTGTTGTTAGGAAAGATACCTTATTGCTGGATTCGGGATGCCAGCGAAGTTCTTCCAGAAAGAGTCAAAGGTGCACATCCCTTCCACATGGAACAGGTATGTTTCAAAATGTGCTCTACTGGAGGCTTGAAGTTATTGATAAATCGGATATCAATGAAATGTATATGACCTTTGGGAAACAATGTCTGTCAGTTGAAAGCGAGGCCCATCCGGCGATTGAGGATGTCTTTTGCTTTTTCTTAATCCAAAGCATTGGGTAGGTCGTCTAATGTGCATGCATGTTTCTATACTTACCGATTATAGTGCGGCTGACTTGACGAATTCTATCAATCGGATCAATAAGTATGCCATGAACTGTGGAGGATTTGTGGATGTCTACAGATGCCAGCTTGTGTTGGACTCGACGACTGTCCTCGTACAGCAAGCTGTTTCCCATTACCAGGCCCCTCGTGGATGCGTTGATGTGAGTACAAAACAAGCAATTCCTATCACTTTTCCAATGATGTTTAGGTCACAGTCAAGGCGTTCAAACCGATGAAAGGGGTCGAGATACCCAGATTAATCAAGGTCGGTGGAAATCACCTGCATCCTCATTCTACTGACCAGTTACTCACCAGCGATTTTTTCGGGAGATCAAAATATTGTTGACACTTAATCATGAAAATATTGTACCTCTCTGGGGAGTTGCACGTCTATTCGGGGTTCTCCCTGCCCTAGTTTTGCCGTGGCTAAAGAATGGTACCCTGACCGAATATCTGCAGAATCGACACAAAGAACTTTCTCGTGGCCAACAGTTTGCACTGGTGCGCTGAAGTCGTTACCTCATAACAACAACAGTACTAAAGACGCTTCAGCTTAGAGATGTAGCTCGCGGCCTTGAATATTGTTGGTCCAATGTTTGCAATTTACATGAAGCATAGCTGACACAGATCTGGTAGTCCATTCGCAGCAGATTGTCCATGGAGACTTGAGTGGTGTGCGTACACCTCACCAAATTTGTAACTTCCCAACTTAAACCTTTTAGTACAACGTCCTTATCGACGATGGAAAAGCACGCCTCACTGATTTCGGTTTATCAGCTCTCATTCCGGCGAGAATGAGTCAAGCCTTATTACCTACCGTTGCTGGAGGCACCCTGCAATGGATGACACCCGAATACTTGACGGCAGATACCAGCGACGTGTCATCCATGTTCTCTCAGGCAAGCAATGTATACTCTTTCGGAGGGATCATGCTTCAGGTGTGTGCGTGTTGGCATTCACACCCTCCAATACTCGATGTCATAAACATACTATTGTCCAATGTGCTCATCCACAGCTTCAGGTGTTGGAGGGAAAGATCCCATACCACTACATCGCCAATACTTTTGCTATAGTTGGTAAAATATCACAAGGGATTACGCCTCGCAGGCCGGCTGCACCTGTGATCATCGACGACGACTGGAATTTCATCCAGAAATGTTGGTCACAACATGCGGTATCTCGTCCATCTGCCACAGACATTATTGCAATTGTGGAGGCAAGGGCTATGATTGTTGTGTAAACGAGTACAGAAAAACTGTTCAATATTCAATGTATCTATATCAGGGTAGACCTCAGGCGAAAGTGAATCAGCAACAAAAAGTGATATCTCTTACGCTGCATCTAGCATGAGATTCTACAATACAAAGTAAGTTTTTTCTTCTGTTCGTTCGTCGACTGCCAAGCGGAAAAAAACCATAGCTATTTGCTGATTGTAGGTATTGATTGGGTGATAGTACATTACAAAACGAACAACAGCAATAATCGGAGTCTTGGGTAAACAAATCGTAGTAAGAAGTGTCATATGAATCGAATCGATACACCCACTCGTTTGACGGGCGAGACTCGAAGCTCGATAGGCTATGATGACATCATGGTCGTGATGCGGGTGAAGATCTTCAGATTCGACACCGTTGTCCCAATTCACAGTTGGTTCTATGCGCTGAAGGCTAGAACAAGATCGTGATTATGCTCGATGGAGAAAAGAATCGCGGCGAGCAATGGTGAGCGACGCCAATCGCTGTCAAATACATGATGGCCTGATGAAGTCTGCAGAGGTCTGGACCATGTCCTGGTATTGCGGGTCGAACAACATGACTACGTCTCGATTGTGCTTGGTGGAGTAAGAATCAGAGCGAACGAAGGTGGGTGCTTGTATCAGGCTGGGCGACGTCGAAAAAGTCGATGTTGCTAGCTGAAGGTAGTTGATCATGATGATGGTCGACTTTCAAACCGTGCAAGGTCAAAACAGTACCTGTAAATTTGAGACGTGGCCAAGTTGAGGATAAGATACCTGAGAGAGCGTGGGAGCTCCAATTCAAAGCCAATTTGGTACTTGTCCTTATAAGTCTTATCTATCGATTGATCGAACGTTTTGACTTGCAAAATAAAATGTCCCCATATCGAGTTTTTTTCTGATACCATGACTTCCAAGGATGGTTGGTCTTGTCTTCCTTCAACCGCATATTCAGCTCCTCATGACAACTTCACAGTGCTCGTCGGTGTCATCGGTGGTAGTGGGCTATACCATCTTGATAACCTGACTTTCGTGTGAGTTGTGACATAAACAAGCTGTGTTCTGTAGCTCATGACAAGCACCTCAGCGAGAAAGTCAACCCAGAGACTGTTCGTTTTCATCCTTTGGGAGTCTTCATGATTTTGATCGATCTGCATTGCCGTCTTTTCAGCCTTGGGGATACCCATCTTCACCCATCACCATTTGTTCGCTACCTTCAGGATCAAAGATCGCCTTCCTGGCTCGTCACGGGCATCACCATTCAATTGCGCCTTCAGCAGTCCCTTCTCGCGCTAACATCGCAGCTTTGAAGTCCTTGGGAGTCCGGGTTATTCTCGCATTCAGTGCTGTTGGCTCGCTCCGCGAAGGAGATCGCCCCGGGATCTTTTGCCATCCCTACTCAGATCATTGATCGCACCAAGGGCATACGTCCAGCCAGCTTCTTTGAGGGCCTGAAGATAGTCGCTCATGCTGCATTTGGTGATCCGTATAGCGTGAAGTTGGTCCGCTGGCTGGAGGTAAGAGTAGAGAAGGCTCTTGCAGATGAAGGTAGAGGAGTGGCTCTCCATAAGGACAAGTGCATCGTTTGCATGGAAGGTCCTCAGTTCTCCACTAGGGCGGAGAGTATCATGTATCGAGCGTGGGGTGGGGATCTTATCAACATGAGTGCTTTGCCTGAGGCCAAGTTAGCTCGTGAGGCGGAATTGAGGTGATTTGACCACTCGCTTTGCTTTGACTTGACTGAGAAACCATCTAGCTATGCCTTAATCGCAACTGCCACAGACTATGATTCATGGCGTCCCCATTCGGAGGCAGTCACTGCCGCGGAAGTATTCAAGACCTTGCAGGATAATGCTAATACATCAAGGCACGTTGCAGCTGCTGTTCTTGAAGACCTTCACGCTGCCGCGTTAGATGGAGACATTCTGACTGAAGACAAGGGCAGTATGCGTTTCTCTATCATGCCAAGAGTTGGCGAACAAGACCAGGAGGATATCAAGAAGCTGGCCTTCATACTACCTGACTACTTCACGCCAGACAATGTTGCTAACTAGATGCTATCATCTCAGTGTTAGTTTAGAGTGGTGAATTCACCCACGATCTGGGTTTTCGTCGATACCACAGCACTTTTGAAAAATCAATCATTTCACCGCTTTAATCCGACTCGTTGGGAAAGCTCTTGTCTCGTGACATAGCATATGATACAGGTTTGAATGTAGATGTGAAGTGGGGGAGACTACTATGTACATAGTTCGTTCTACCGAGTTCGGACATTTCCTTTGGTATTACATAAATGTAAGAATAGCAAATGAAAAGGAATAATTAGGTACGAAGAACACGGAAATCAGGGAATCCCGACGGGGGACCATCAAATTCTGTTCATTGGAAGAAAGAAAATGGTACAATAAAGATCCTGCCTGATCCTTGAGTACTCGTTGTCCATGACAATTGGATCTATGTTACAGTATGAAGTAGTGAGCATGACTGCGAAGTTTGCCTCGGATGGTGGGCAATTTTGAGGTATGAAATGCGACACAATTTGTGTGTCTACAGGTTGTGCTCTGCAATGTAGCGCATGATGAGGAGCGAAGCCATAATGTCTGATGGTAGAGTTAGCTACTATCCAAGGATATAGACAACAGCAACCTGCCTATGGAAAGGTGACAATATGATTCGTGAATGGTCAGAGTGTTTCCGGAGACGCCATAAGCTGGCATGTGTGGTTGACGAAGTTCGTAATGAGCGACAAGGTAATTTTCTTCTGAAATACACTGTAGAAAAGACGGGTTTCAGGTAGGGTTGGTGGACAAAGCATATTGAACGTACCGACCACTCGTGGCCGTCTGCACTTTGGTGCTCCCATCTGTATTCCCGGCCATCACTCGCCCGAAATTTTCTGGAGAGGGATCTATGGTACATTAGGTTTGGCTGCAGCAACACAGGAGAACAGCATACCCTCCGAAAAAGGTTGTCTTTCGTAGGTATCTGTTCATCGGCATCGTCATGCTGGGCGCAGGAGGGTAGAAAAAACTGATATTTCCTAGTCCTCCTGCAGCACCCTCTGCAAACTCGAGTACCACTAAAGGCTGTCTCTCCAGATGCCGCGTATCTCCGTGTCGAGTTGAACGGCGTCCCATGTTGTATATAGCCAGAACGTTGTCGCTTCTGGCAGGAGAGCGTGGATGAGGTACGACACGTATGAACATGCGGTCGTAGATGTCATCATAATCAGAGCCAGTTACACGGCCTGTCCGATCCTCGAACATGTAGGGCATCTGAAGAGGTCTTGGCATGATACCTGTGGAGGTCCTAAATGATACAGTAGTCGGGACCCAAATGCGAAGCTAAAATATTGACCTGACAGAGGCCTCTTATATACAGTACCGCGCGTTGCATGACCTGTGCGGTTGCTTCCTCGGGTTAATAAGGTCCAAAAAGGGAGCCAAGTTAGACTCCGGATAGGCTGCGTCGTAAGTTAGCGCACATGGGGTATTCTGGTCTTCGCGGGGTTGCAAATTGCCCTGACAAAGTAGCACTGGATCATCTGCAGAGCGGAAAAGGGCACCTGCCTTAGAGTGCTGGTCGCGTCATTGTCTCGGCAACAAAATCCCCAGTTTGTGAAGCACGAGTCCCGTTCTCAGCGGATAACAATTAGCCATTGAGGAAAAGAATTTGAACGTGGGGGTACCGAGCCGAACAATGAATCAATGGGGTCTAAACCTTTCCTGTGTACAAAGTTGAGTCTGACGCCAATCCTTACGTGATTACCCTCGATGGTAACGCAATAAATGGAAGACTGCGAAGTCAATTGTCGCATCCAGCCAATAGGGTGCCTACCTGTACTCTTGCGCCATTACCAACGTGCGAAAATTTGTCCGCTCCAACAACATGTGTTGATAGGACATGTCACGAGCTCATGCTGACACGACTTGTGCCTGACAAAAAAGCGCAGGAACCAGGACCGGGACACCAGCGCAGTGGCATCTGTGGCTGCGCTTACTATGAGAGCACCGGATCCGGGCGCCAGACTGCCCAAGTCCTTGCATTTGCAACAATGATGGCCGGGGATCATCTTAAGCCCTATGTTCATCGGAAGCACTGCGCTCAACGGACGCAGTTCCATAGGAAAGATGCCAACAAAAGTGAACAGCTTAAATGCTTCACGTACCAGAAGGTTGAGCACGAGGATAGAGAGTCAGTGAAGTCGTGAGAAGCACATAAGCACATACAAGGTTCGCCTCTAAAAATATCATCAGATGTTTCAGTCTGACAACCGTAGACATAGTTTAGTGACGGTATTTTTTTCCTAAAAAGAGGGAAGTATTTAACATGTGGAATGCAGGCCATTCTTGGCGCGTTATGGCATTGTGAGAAGTACGCCCTAGGGTGACCGGGGCCGGAAGAACTCCAAGTAAGAAGGCGATGCGCGAGTGTGGAAAAGGAGTCTAGGGCATCAATGGTTCTTTTGGGGTTCCCCACCGATTGATTTCCCCACTGAATCAGAACATGATTGATGAAATAGAATCACGTGATTATAGTTGGCAGTATTTTTTCGGCGCAGGGAATCACTGACTTCGTTAAGGTACATACTCTTGGTCAGTTGAGACAAAATGATAGCACCCAGAAAAGACATTCTCAGACGAGAGGCAGTTTAGCAATCTGAGCACGCGAGACCACGAACAAGATGAACGGGATAATATAAAAGCGTACGGGAGAAGCTGTTGACAGGGGACGACATTCACCACATCTTTCCCCCGTCAAAGCCTCCGTCCGCGCCAATATTGGTTGCAGAAGTCTTTGCATCTAAGAACAACTCATTCATCTCTCCAATATCCTCCACTTCTATCTGATTTCTCCCGGAAAGACCAGCGAGAATTGAAGCTGGAGTAAGAAGTTGGAGAGCATATCTGTAAAGGCAGTCATGAGAGGTGCACTGTCAATTGAGGTGTCTCATACCGCATTGATCCTCGTTCACCCTCCTCTGCTATTCGCTCCAAGACCCCAGAACCCAATTTAAGACCTTCTACGTTTGCACGCAACTGTACCACCTTCCCGATCTGCTCGCGATTATATCCGTCAGTCTTCACAATAAGGCACCTTGACAAGGCAAATCAGTCAAAAATCTGCTACGAGGTTTGCAGACTAACCGATCCAACAAATCTACAGGAACACCATGAGGTGAGACGATGTCGGTCGTCCCTCGTACTAGTGCATTTCCACGATTGGTAGCAAGTATTACAGTAGGTGCCATAGGGGATTCAAGGAGGGCATTGAGATAGGTGAAGCACTCGATATCCAGCATATGCACCTAGGGAGAATGTTTAGCCTCACTCCTACAGCACCGTGAGAAGACAGATACCTCATCAATGAAAACTACGCCCGGAACAACCTCGGCAACGCCCTGGTCTACGTAGCCTTTGACCACCTTGTTGACTTCTCTTCGAAGTTTGTCTGTTACCTCCGTCCTTCCGCTTTTTACAAGACTACCCATGACGCTCATGATGTCTTGACCGCCTTGCGGACGCGCATTAGCGGCATCGAGATCACCGAGAGTAACGTCTTGGACAAGCTCTTTGCGCTTATGAACGTCACCTTTCGGTAATGGCACGTATGTTTCAGATTCGAGGTCGTAGGAGGAGGCATATGCATCGGATCGTCCAACTCTCTGCATAAAAAGAAATCAACTTGTGCATGCTTGATTCAACAATTCTGTCACACCTTAACTGCACCGGTGTTGGCTTCTACATAGATAACATCACCAACAACAATTTTCTCCTTCAGGATTGCTTCATAGATGGTGGGATCCAGTCGTAGCTGCTTGGTACCTTTGACAGTTTTAAGACCAACGATAACATGCGAGACTGTCTTTCCGTATCTGCTCAATGGGTTTTCAGATTCTGCGGGCGTAAGTTCGGTAACCTCTCCTTCGTAGACCTCTTTGGTTTCTTTTATCCGCAGACCTGTCGGAAAAGAATGTATTGAGTCCGAATTCGTAGATCCGAGCCAGGACATAGGCAATGTCATCTGCAGCACAACATAAAATACGTATTCACGAGAAACCCGACAGAGAACTCCAAACATCTAAGGTACTCACCGATTGCCCTCCTGAACGATTCTGCAAGTACCTCTGTCTTCTTCACCTCTGTGCTGTACACCTCAGAACCAACCATCGGGCAAAATGGCACCTTGGTTCCAAGCTCGTGCGATACTGCTAGAGCAAGGGCTGTTTTGCCTGTTCCCGGCGCGCCCACGAGAAGTAGCGCGCGCCCCGAAAATTTGCGGGATTTTACGAGATCCACCACCACACCACATGCCTACGAGCTTGGTCAATCCCAGGAGAAAGAGATAACAGTGTTATGATGACCTCTCGAGCATTAGTCTGGCCTATGAATCCTGCACCATCGGGTGCTGCAAGGCCATCTGATGTGAGCCCTAATCCTTTTATGTGCGAGTGAGGAGCGATTCTAGAGGAGCGAGCATTGGATGTTGCAGATGGTGGGGGTAAGGCGTTGTGAGCGACAGGTGCTGATGTAGATGGTGTTGCGCTTGTTGCTTTCATGATGGCTTTTCTTGGAACGCGTTGAAACGCGACAATCGTGACTGTCACTATATTATGTCAGCAGGAGGTTGTTTATTTCTAAAGCTGCTGCCAAACAAACTCCATGTACATCAATCATCCCTCGAGAAATTAATTAGAATTAGTCCGATGACTGTGTATTGCTTGATATTTCATCATTTTTAGAACGTTTTACTTAGACGGTTGACCAGTCAATAATTAACTTCATAACACGGCAGTACGATTGACTGGGAGATACTTATTCTGCAAGCCATGTACCCAATGTCGCAACTGCTAAGTCGTCTGAAAATTATGTTCAGATATTACCAGTCCGCAAAGCCAACAAGCCTCCCGTCCCATGTCCACCAAATCATCTCGTCTTCTTCTGGAATTTCCTCGCTCGATATTATCTCCGAATCTTCGGTTAGTCTCTGTCGGCTGCGAATCCATACACCTTCCACGTTTCCGCCTTTCTTTCTCTTCTTAACATCGTCTCTCGTTGGACGTTCCCCAGATTCCTCAAGAAACTGGTTTAGCAGTGCGTCAAAAGCACCGCTGAGTGTTTGCTTAGGCACCCACGCCGGGTGCATAAATTTTCGCGGAGCACGAAGCACTATGTGCGTTTGAGTTGGAGCTATTCATGGCACAGCGTTAGGGCATAGATAAAGTGTCAAAATTGTTACTACTGACCCATTTCGCTGGCCATGCCCTGCCCATCATTTTCTCCGCATGCGCTTGCAAGTGTGCGAGAGAGCAGGCGTTCTGCGGTGCGGAGGGCTTCGAGTTCTTGAGCATAAGTTGGAGACAGTAGGTGTGGTTGTGGTGGCGGAGAAGAAGAGAGAGAAGGTGTTCTAGATGGTGGTGGGGAGGGTGCTTGAGAAAATTCTTCAGATTCCGTCTCCGAAGCTACTTCTTCATCGCACAAGCTGTCACTGCTATCACTGTTAACGCATTCGCTTGAGTCGGTGTCGCCATCACAGCCTGAGTCTGAGTCTGAGTCTGACCCGTCTTCATTATCACTTTTCTCATCGTCATCCTCTGCTTCCTCTCCCTCACGTCCAGCTGGGGCATCCAAGCGATCATCTCGTTCTCCCCAGACCTTCGCTTCCAGAGCATCCACACCAACCATTACCCTGCATTTTGCAGATCCAGGTGTGGGACCAAGAACAACTGCGAGGTAGGCACGACCGGAACTTCGAGGATCTTTTGTCCCGCTGTGATAGGCAAACGCCGTAGAGAGGGCTGTAAATGTCGTATTGAGGTGTGACGCAAGGGTATCAAATGAATTGAGGAGCTCCTGACGCTTCTTCGCAGCTCTAGACGTGGTCTTTGTTGCGTCAGTGTTAAAGCCAGATAAGATAGCAAAGCACCTACATCGCCACCAGGCATCCGTGCCATCTGTATGACAGGACTATGCAAAAATCAGCAGGCGATTTGATTATCAGTGCTTGAGCTTACAAAGGAACCTGACTCTTCAAAAATAGAACATGGCCGACCAAGCTAATGCACAATCTGGCGGCCATAGAATCCGTCACAAGGTCGGCATCGAGTGTGATGGATGGAATCTTAGTAGGAGGAGCAAGCATTGCGGCAGGCTGTCTATCTGTATAGTTATCTTGTACTTCTTTGTGAGGCACGTCCCTTTCTAGCTTGCAATCAGAGAGTGCGAGGATACGCATGATTGGAGATCTGCAGCTGGTGCCAGTGGACGAGGTGACACAGCACATGTGACGCCACGCGATCCACGCGTTTTTGTCACGTGCTCAAAAATATTTTTAGCCCCAACCTCAGTAGTATTATTACGCCCAGTTGTTAGAAGCCCTGATGGCTCAGTTGGTTAGAGCGCAGGTCTCATACTATTTGTGTGACCGGTATCGTTACCGGGTAATCCTGAGGTCGCAAGTTCGAACCTTGCTCAGGGCATTACGTTTTTTCTTGGTGTATCCCTCGACCAAGCCACATCTAGTATCTAAATTCAAATGTTATTGCTCGTTTTCTCAACACACCGTTTCCAAACTTGTGCAATCTAAGTCTTTTTCGTTGATTCATGTGTACTGATCACTCGCGACATTCCCACTCCGTTGAACACGACCAGAACAGAACACAGAACGCCGAACACCAACCTCCTCCCTCACCTGATGTTGGAACTGGACGCTTGATGGTCATTTTATTGCGTGGACGGCTCATTGAGAAGCTCAAGGTCAGTACTAGTCTGTGATTACTCGTATATGTCTCCAATCTTGTAGTCTAGTTTGAATGCATTCAGTGCGCAGGGAACTCTTTCATACTGACGATATCAAAGTCCTAGGAATCCTTTCCGGTTCTCTAGGTCCTACTATGTCTGTAGTTCTTCCTATTCTGTCACGGAAAGCACCCCACTTGTCTCTCAGTCCTGTGTGTGGCATGGGTTCACCGCCTACAAGTTCAATACGATCACTTCCTTTGTTGGATCTGCCAGTGGTTCGGGTGCTTTCGGCTATTTAGGTCGCGGAGAGGCGAAACGCGCGACTAGCCGTGCTGAGCTTGGCAAGTATGCTGAGGACGAGGATGATATGTTTGGAAAGCCTGGAGGAACTAGTGAGTAATCTTAGGCCAGGCCGCCAATGTATGAATGATTTCGAACTCTAGCTTCTCAGCTCTCGAATAGCTTACGCAAACCCTGCAACTTAACACAAGTTTGTCGAACAAGCTGTGGGTATGGCTTATGCTTTATTTCGGACATCTCGTGGTGATTGATTTCACTGCAGCTCGGAGATGATTCGGTCCAAGACGATGATTTGACAGAGGCAAGCTTTTGTGCTGTCATCTATGATATTGGCTGATCAAATTCCTCAGATTGATGAGGGCTTGCTGAAGATGACCTTAAGACTAATCTCCAAATGCCCGGTTGTGCAACATGGTGAACCAACTCGTCGATGAACTGACACCCTCGGCGCCTAACTTCCAGCTGCGTGATGCTTGCGATCAACTCGTCAGTTGAATTTAACTCGATGGTTTTTATAGTCTGATGTATCGCCGCATTTCTAGATCAAGCAATCATGACGGGAAACTCACATGTGCTCATGCAGTTGATGTCTTCACATGGTATACTGACGATTTTGGAGGTACTGGAAGGTAAGTGCTCCAGGGATGCCATCATGAGGCTTCTTCACATCGTCAACTTGGTAAGTCAGCGACTTGATTTACATCCATGAACTTGACAGTGTTGGCTAGTTGGTCATGAGCGATTCTGCGTTTGTAGAAAGCTTCTGCCTTATCGGTGAGATTCCGGTGATGATGGGTATGTGTCGTAGCCCCAAAGAGGTTGATAACGAAGGATTTATCAATACAATGCAAGTTATACTCCAAAGAGATACCATTCTTATGCCGCGTGGAGGCGTCCAACTTTATCAGGCTACTCTACTGCACATCTGTGTTGACGTTGCAAGTCTTCATCTCGTGCGTGCTTGCCTGACTTCTGCATCAACCAACCGGCGGGTGAACACACCCATGACCGTCCCGGTCGATCCGTGTCAGCGGTGAGCTCTGCTGAACGAGGGAAAGTGGCTATCACCCCCTTTGCTCATGGACATCGATTCAGAGCCTAGTGTGTCTGCTGTCGTGCAGCCGCAGCGCCTGCGAGTCTTTGATTGGTCCAAAAACCTGGGGGGATTCAGCTTTTCAGGATTTTGTCACCGCGGCGGTTCTCTGTAACCTTAGTCGCGTCCGAGTGTTTGATATAACACTGCGGCCGCGACAGCTTCTGGTGAAATTCTTCTACTAGTCACGGTACCGAGTCCATACCGCATAGTCATAGATTCAGGGATGACTTTCGTTGTAAGTACTACTTAAGTTTGAACTCTATCCACGCGGCTGAATTTTGGTTCCCAAGTAATTTAGTACACAACTCGGATCACAAGTTGAAGCACTGAACGTTGAACATCACCATGATGTGGCCCCCGCTATCGAGTTATTGAACTATAATTCCAACCGGGGAATACTCGCTTCCGTATCGTCACACTAGCAACCAGACGCCAAAACAGCTTGATCGGAAGCTACTCGTTTCGCGTCCAGTATATCCACGTTGGACCGGAAAACGTTCTACATCAAAAGTTACCGAGACTGGCTAGATGGATGATCTCATAAGTTTTCAAGATCTTACCGGTTACCCCTCACAAACCCCTCATGCTCTCCTCCATTTTTTTCGCACTCAATACTCGCGAGCTCGATTTCTTCTATTTTAACAGTCTTGTAGATGTTCGTAAGCTACTCTGTAATGAGCACATATCAATGCAGTATCACAGTTTTTCTCAAACAAGTCTATTGGATTTCAACAAGAAAAAGAACTAGATCATCTGTGTAATAAAAAGACGACAATACTGGCAACTTTCGTTTCGAGAACACCATAGCACGAAACCGCTCTTTTATGATGCTGATGTAACTCTCCGGCGTGTAACGGTAATCTGCGAAATGGAGAAGGCAAAGCCCCGGAAAGTCGTGGCAGGCTGCAAGCTTGGCATCCTCATCAGCATGAGAAAGCACGAGTTAAATTGTGATTAGCAACTGAGGACAATGAGAACACAATAAAACCATATCTTCATTGATCCACTGCCATCCCTGAAGGCCTGATGGCTGCAGTAGCTTGGCAGTAGCATGGATCTCCCAAAAAAAACCAAAAGATCATATATGCTAACGAATAGTAGAAGAAACACGCACAAGGAGTAGCTGCAGCCTGCCGGATGTCTCGCCTCCTTTGTGATGTTACTGATCCTTGCCGCAGTGTATCTCGTCCTCGTTAGTCGGTGTGTATTCGGCAGCAGGCCGGTAATCCATGCATGTACCTCACCAAGACTAAGTATGGCGTCACCCAAACTTGTGCCGGCGGGATGGCTCCGTGACGCATATTTGCCTTTTCAAGCTGTGTCACCCGTCACGGCGTCACCTCGGTAGCATCGAAATTCAAACCGGATCATCATCATCGACTCCGCATTATTCCCTACGGGAAGCCAGCTGCTAGTTGCATCCATTGTTGCGATGCTCTACTAGTATATATTGCTCTGAATAACATTCTCATTTGTTCATCTGTTCTCTGATAACTTGTGTTCCATTCCCGCCTTTCACTCATCGAGACTAGTTGATGGAATCTAACGAGATTCCACGTTCCTCCGTGCTAGCCTTAGAAGGCAGAGCTTCATCTATATCGTGAGTCCTCATCCTGCTACCGGTCCTGGCGTGCCACCGGTGGAGCATTTTGAGACTTCAAACTGAGTACTGAATGATGACAGATGTTCGAGACAGTTTTTGCACAAGTGGAATATCATACATTTAATACAAAATTATGGTAAAATCCGATCGAAAGTCTAATCCAACGAATGTCCTTCAGGTATCGTGCTCAACACGCCTAACAACCCTACTGTTGACTTGTCGTTGTCTCGTTGCAGTAATAATAGTCCTGTTACAGAATGAGTTTGACCGAGCTGTTGAGTTGAGTGGTGACACTTACCACCTCGTATACGGTGTAGCAACAAGACGGTAAGTAGTTACTTGGACAGCAACTCCCTGAGTAGTCTTGGCACTGCTCATCGTTAACACTTCCCGGTTGGGATTGATCCTTTTGCAGTACAGGTAAGCACAAGTATATTTCTCCGTTTATGAATCTCTCTCACCTCCATGCAGCAAGCAAGCGAGCCGCTACCACAGCTATATGAACTGGCCGAGGTCCTGACAACAGCAGCAATAACAGAGGCTATAACGTAGTCTTGGAGAAGGAGAAGGGCGATGACAGAAATCGTGAAGATTCGAACGAACATGTTGATGTGTATCGAGGTCTAAGCGAGTGCTGTTCCACGAGCAGATGCAACCTTTTAAATATGTCGGCGGCCTTCACCGCGGAATTTACACTGGACTCGGCAATACTAGGGTTAGTAAAGTGACTTGAACGTCGAACGAACTTTGAATGACATCATAACCGATGTCACTAGGCCTAAGGAGTCGATTCATCGAGGCAGCCGTTATTGGTGCTTCTGCCGTTTAGCACTGACTCAATCGAAGTCTGGATGCAAACTTTTATTGATGGCACCGCTGTTTGGCCCGAGGTTCGATATATTATGCAGGAAGGTTTGCGGTTTTGTCGCATCGTTGCCTTGTTTATACAGGCACTGGTTTGGACCCCTCGCAATAAGCCGAGTATCCGAGCCTGGCACCTGCCACAGGGAAGGGGGTGCCTCCTGATGTTTCAACATCAACGTACGACGAACAACTGGTATCCAGTGCGAAAGGACCCTCAACAAATTTTTATTCTCCAACCCTACCTCCTGTGTTTGTACATCTCGTTGGACAGCAATTATTCAAATATCCGGAGGGAGCCGCGCACGCCGAGTTGTAGGTGCCTTTACCTTCAAGATTTAGAAGCTCAGATGCCGATAAAAATAAGGTAGGTGCATTACCTCACTTACAATAGAAGTCAAGACCTTCAACAACGTTCGGTGAGGTATTTTCTGCTCCTAAATGTTTCACAAGAATGAGGTATGTGCGTTACCTCACTTACGACAGAGGTCAAAACTTCCGATAGCGCTTCGAGTGGGTAAGGTATTTTCTGTTCGCCGCGTGTACCAGGCTACAAGGTCAAGCAACTTGTCATCGCACGTCTTCTGCTACCCACCACACTCAACTCTCCACCTACCACACCTAACCTCCGGGTGTGACTGCAACTATGACCTCATGAAGCCTGGCGCTACCCAGCCATCAGAAAAATATCAGAGTGCTTATTTAGTTTCATTCTACTTAGATGATCGATGATCCGAGGAACACAAGTAGACTTAGTCGCTCTATCGGAAGATAAGGATACATAAGCATAAGACGAGAGGTGTGCAAAACGAGAAGTTCTGAATGATTAGCCTAACGCCACATAAGCTGGTTGAACCCTACTACCACTCGGAGGTACCCTTGAAGTTCCTCGATAGTGGCGTCAGAAATTAATGAAATCATTCGCCGAGTACAAAGAAGAGGTAGTTTCAGTGCCGTAGAGTATTAATCTAGACAATTGAACCAATGAAAGGCGCCTGTTGAAGGCACTGCTCACTAAATGGAATAGTTTGGATATCACATGTGACCAAAGTGTCGTCTCAATGTCCCTCACACACAAGTTGTATTTACCAACTCTATCACAGATTTTTCATCATGTAGAAGTTCTACAATCAAACACAGGGATCTTGAATGTTATGCCGCGCAGTACAAATAACATGAAATTAGCCATAAAAATGTACAAACAAAGAAAAGTATTATACACATGCTACCCAACTTCGAGCAAACTGCATGCCGAGAGCGAGAGAGATGGTCACGCTCCACGATATACGACCGGATTGAGATATGGGTGCCGTGCATGGAAGTAGGCAGAGCAGACACGTGAATGAAGCGCTGATAAAAACACATAGCGGCCGCGGGCGAGGTGCTGAGAGGTTGTTCTTCGGAATCTGTGTGGATGTTATCAGCTCGCACGTAGAATACGCGGTGTGGGTTTTCTGAGGATACAGTAAAACACAATAAGGTGCTTGAAGGGCGTAGAGGGCTACGGAAGGGCCAACATGCTGTGGTATGATACAGCGAAGGCGTATGCAGCAGATACCAGGTGAAGGAACGAGGCTTATGATGAAAAGGTGGTGAGGTGTGGTGATGAGGGCGGGGATCGCAGCAAAAAATAACGACCTTCAGTCGCGGCTGTGCGCGAAGGACAGAAGATATCATTAGGACACTGGCTTCATTTCTCCATATATGTTTTGCTTGTACTCGAAGTAACATGACTCACGAGTAGAGATGCAGTTAAGGCCGCTTTCTTTTCTTTTTGTTTCCAGAAAAAGGGAAAAAAAAAGAACGCATCTGTCAACAGAAACGTCGATGTTGAATAACTCAGTGACAGCGTGTCGGCGGGCTAATGTAGAATGAGTTTGGCGAAGGAAGGCGGGCTTTGGCGGAGGGAAGGCAGGCTTTGCCAAAGGGAAGGCGGTGGTGGAGGGAGGGCGGGCTTTAGCAGAGAAGGATGACGGTGGTCATATGAAGGCGTAGACGCCAAAAGCTCACATTCAATCACCAGAGGATGGGTAGCGAAATCGACAGATAAGCGGAGCCTGGTGCGGTGGAGGGCGCATACACCGGTGAAACTTGACTTGGAAGTTACCGCGGATAGTAGGTAAGTCCGGACAATATCGACTTTCGTGTAGATGAATCGCTGTTGCCGTTCACGTTGGTGTTGACGAGCGCCAAAAAGTCAACTTGTTTTGTTGTGGTCAAGAGGTTTTTACCCGCCGCTGTTGCTACTACTCAGGTAACTCCCAAGTTGCTGACGAGGTTTTCGAGGTCTTGTTATTACGTTAGGCATATACTAGGCTCGGACTCATGCGTGGGACACCGCCACAGCAGATGCTGACACCAAGGTTTATTGAAACGTCGAGGTACGATTCCTGTGTGCAGCGTGGCCCGAGTCAGATCCCAAGTGAACTCTAACTTTTAGAATTGAGAATTGAGCAGCCCCGTTGAAAACCTCGTTGATTGGACTGTAACATCCGATTGTAATAATCAGTGGCGTCATCGGATATCCAGTGTCAATGTCATATGGACCACAGCTTTGAGTCTCAGACTAGCTCAAACTTGAATTTTCACTTCCTAGTAGCTTATCAGTGAGGTTGACAGATATGGACTGGTTGCAGCAGAAGACGATGAGAATATTTGTGGCATAGCAGCGATTTAGTCATTCTTGTCACTTTTTTTTTTTTTTTTTGATTTCTACAACATCATGATACCTAAGTACACTTGGCAACTGATCCCCTGTCACAGGCGTGTTACAGACTTACGGTTGATGGAGAGGCGCATTAGTAAGGATCAGGTTAGCTTAGCGCTATTCATTCTGATCTTTTCCAAGTTTCCACGGAAAGGCTTCCCTGATGTTGGGGAAAAGTGGTATCTCTGTCTGGCACCTTGCGGGCTTCGTTGTAACATCACCGAGACATCCAGACAGTCCTTGGAATAATCATATTATCTGGCCCGAACCCTGCCTGTTCTCAAATGTCCTGTCAGAAAAAGCACACCTACGAGTCCGTCGCGACCATCGGAGAAAGAAAATAACAAAATCAAGGGGTCAAAGCACTCTTTGCTAATAGTAGTGTGTTCAGGAAACGCTGATGATATCAATACTGTATACGCCAAGCTGGTCACGAGCCTAGTTGGGAAGGTGATATATCACTTGTGCATCACTGTGCATTGCTTCTCCGCTGGCATTGTACCACACGCACGTTGAGAAGGGGATGTGTGACAAGGCGTCTGGAGACGCGACGTTCATGAGCTAGGACTTCTTAGAAGCAACACGGCACCATTTTTGGTATATGCGGAGTTTGAACGTGTCCAGACGCCTTGTCCTTCGCGGCTGGTTCACGAGACTATGTAGTCCGCTGGTATACGCGCATCGTTCTCGCTGCTTCTTTGATATGTACCTTGCTTACTAACCTACACTACACTACCCCTCGGTGCCTTACCACTTTTGTGGTGTACCTTGCTTACCTACGCTACTCATCCAGGTCTCTGCCTATTGGATTTCCCTCCACCCGCCATGTTTTTGTGTTCCAGAGCTCTACTATGTTGTCCATCGAGCCACTTGCCAGAAAGGTGCTGTCTGGAGAAAAGTCGAGCGAGAAAATCCTGTTGGAGACTTGGAGTGGACTTTGACTCGGATGGGCTGGGTGAGAGATTCGCCGTCCCTGGTCCAGGCTATGAGCTCCCCGCCAAAATCACTGTTTGCTACTCTCGATACTGCAGCTACTCGTATGCCCCAGTGATGCCCCTCCATTATCTTCAATACGACACCGTTTTCTAAGTCCCATAGACGAAGGGTCTTGTCATACGAGGCCGTCACCATACCGCGTCCATTGGTAAATTCTGCAACTGTAAATACACTATGTCTGTGGCCTCTAAATATTTGACCAGTCGTGGTGATTCGGATGGCAGGATGTTCATCTTCCGTCATTTTGCTCGAGGTGGACGATGTGGAGCATGATTTGCTGGAGAGCCTGTGAGTGTCTTGATCCAAGAGGTGCAGGGCCGTTTTGCTTCTTCACAGCGTCAATCTGCATATTAGACGCCCAGGGCATCAGACACTCGGACCGCTGCGAAGTGCATGTATCTCCTAGTAAGTACAATTCCCATGGTTGCTTGTTCATTGGATCGAAGTACGAAGCTGTGGATTACAGGAGACTTGGCTGACGCCACTACTACGCTCGAACGAATATCCGGTCCAGTGTAATAGTGATGCCCGCTGCGCTGAAGTGCGTTCGATGTTCGCTATCCGGCGAGCGTCTTGCGATTGCAGCAGAGTCCAAACAGTAATATCTAATTGATAACCCAAGCCTGATCTATGCACCAGGGAATGCGCCGGGTTACTACACTAGATTACAGCCCACCGCGTATGAATAATCGTGTATGCTCCATTGCAAACGAACTATGTACGTAGGTGCTCTCAGGATGTGGTTTCGCAGTAGCCATGCACGAATCCAAACAACCGGATGTGTTACTCATCACGGTCCAAGTGCACATGTTGACTCTAATAATGCAAACACGATATCGTCCTCCGCAACCACCTCGAGAGCAGATGGTGCATCTACATGTCAAATTTTGAAATCTTGTATGTGCGAGGGTCATTTGCAGGGTATGTATGATATATGAGACTATGATAATGTGATCGTCGACGTGTTCTAAAAAATCATTCAGCTACAAAATGTCTAGGGTCTCGATGTTCATAATATCAATCGAAGCCGGGTGTTTCACCTGCGCAATGATATATTGGTCCGACGCGACCCTCTTGTATTCTCCAACGCGTTGTTCCGCTACCAAAAGTGCATTGAAAGCCTGCCCAAGGTGAACCATCAAACGCAATGATCGTGAGTGAAGATCCGAGTCAACTGACACCTCCTCTTCTCCAGGTGAGTTGCTGGACCGCTCGTCAGTGTCGTCTGATCCAGACTCAGACTCGGACCAATCCCCTACGCTCTCCCCTTCGTCTGCAAAGGTGGGCTGCTCTGAAAAATCAGGCAGCCCGAGGAGACGACGGTCCCATGGACGGACAAGAAAGAACGTCTGCTGAGTGGGCCTTGTGCGCGAGAATTGAATTAGGGTCTCGTCCGTGGTGATCAGCAAGTCTCGAAGCCCATCTGCTTTCACTCCATACGTGAAATGGGCAGTATGATCCCGCTTCCGTTTGACTTCCGTGACACGGAATGCGATGCAAGGCAGACGGAGTCTGCAGTTTGCAAATAGAGGAGCATTCATGTTCTTGAGTAGATTATACAACTTCGAAGCTGAATCCACAGGCACAATGTTTCGCAACGAAGAGACCGCTGTCTGAATCTCATCTTCAGACAATGATGGTAGGGAGTATGGCGGGGTTGCATATGAGATGATGTCGGCTGGAAGGCAACTATTGAACTCGGACGATTGTCCGACCCAGTCCAGGCAAGTGATGTCGCCCGACCGAGACACGAGATCCTGCAGGAGCCGGCCGAGCGCGCTCTGCTTTCTCTCGCCATAGATGACAGGTAGGTGGACGTCGAAGATACCAAATAACGAGTACGCGGTGTCTTCCTGCACAGTGGTGACGCGCTTCGATGCCCATTGCAGTTTCTGTCTAGGGTCTCTCATCCCTGGATTGAAGGATTTCAGGGCCTGTGCATCTATTCCCGTCGCATCCTCCAACTCCCTCATGATTGCTGGGGACTCTTTGTGGTTGGGAGTGCGATCGTTTCGATATAATGACCAGTCGTTCTGATAAAATATAACGACTTTCGGAGCGACGAATTCTTGAAAGGTCCATCCTCGTTCGTTCCACACACTGCTCGCCAGTGCGCCGGACTGGGATGAAGGAGGAACATCGGATAGGTAGACGATGGTGAGCGCCGAGTGACGGTACCAGACGAACATGGATTGGACCGATTCTCCAAGCTCAGCGTTGTTGGTCTTATCGATGCAGCATGTATCCATCCACGCCCAGAGATATCCCGCATCACGAGCGATTTTGCAGAACGACTGCAGTTTCGTGATGCCACCAAGTCCCTTCAACTCGCGCACATCTTTATTTTGGATGTGGTGCAGTAGCACCTCCGTCTCTTGCCACCTGTGTGATAGCAAAACACAACGGAAGTGCATCGCCACCACCTCCTTGATGCGTTCCATTTCGAGATCCGAACGCTTCGTGATGGATGACAAAAGCTCCTTGTACTCTGGACTTTTTTTGAAGGAGTTTATCTGTACTGCTCTGTCGCACAGAATCCCTGTAGAGGTGTTGAGCAGACGAAGGGGGGCATTGCTGAGTTCGATCCAAGCCGCTCTTCGGATAGCGTCTTCTGCTTCCGATGGACAGACGTACTGCTGACGCAGATCTGCAGAACAAGATAGGCATTACGAGACGAGGTAGCAATGTTCCATGTCCCACCTCGTATCTGCACTTCTGGAGCATCGTCCAATTTGGACAACATGATTGTGAAGGCCTCGATGGCTTCATCGTAACGTTGCGCGCCACGCAGCGCTGAGTGTGACAACTGGTACCCAACATGAGACGAAGGGTTGAGTTCGGTGACCTTTGCATCGCCAAAGTCAACATTAGCTACGAAAATGTGGATGCCATCGCACCTTTTGCGCGTCGAGTAGCGCATCCTCCCATGACATTTTACATAACTTTGCCTCGCTGCGTTTTGCAAAGAATATATAGGATGCAGAATCCAGGTCGATCGCCATCGAGTATAGGTCAATAACCTCGTCGTAATCGCTTGCAGCGAAGGCAGCCTCTCCATTGGCAGCGCAGAGTGCGCTGCATTCCTGTTTGAAATCTGAGAAGAATACAGGTGAGGATTGTCGCCTGCGCGACATTACGGGTTCTAGACTCGCCGTTGGACCAATCAAGGCAGTCGGCATTGGTGATTTCGTCACTTGAAGTCATCATGTGTCGGTATGATTTCGCGGCATCTTGGGGTTTGCCTGCCAGAAGGAGTGCATTACAGCGTTTCTGGCGTGCCTTTTGCCACAAGGACTTCATGTCCCAGCCAAAGAGCTGGACAAGAGACTCAGTTATGAAAAGCGTCATATAGGCATCATCTTGACGTACCACCACCAAATCTTCATATACTTCATGAATGTTCCATTTCGACGATGAATCGCGAGAGTCGAGAGCGGCAGTGAAATAGTCGGCAGCTTCGTCGTAGCGTGCGCCATCCAAGGCTTTGATTCCGAGTTGAACGTGTAGATATGCCTTGTGTGTGAGGTGTAAATATGAGTGTTGATGACCAAGCAGGGATGATACTTACTTGCACAAATGCGAGAGTGTCGGCATTCGGAGAACCGGCAGCGAGCTCTTTGAGGAGCAGGCTTGCCTCATCATGTTGATCTGCATTGAAGAGCGCGATGACCTGGAATACATGATGAATGGAAGAGCATGCGAGGTAAATGTAACATACCTTGATCAATAGCAGAAAATGAGTGATTTCTGAATCCTGGTCCGTGCACATGTCGGATGCATCATCAAATGCTGCCCTCGCATCCAGGACGCGGCCTTTTCCACAGAGAGCAATACCCTTGGAGATATAGCCCGTCAATGAGGGCCGAATCCTGATGGACTATATCACCGTCGAGTTAGCTCTGTATAAGGCGGCAATAATTCTCACCTTGATTGCGTCCAGAAGGGCGCGATCCCAGTCGTGTTTTCGCGCCATGACGAATGACCGATGGGCGTAGGAAGTATGGTTGTTCGGACTGGTGTTGATATCTTGAGTGAGTAGTCCTTCGGCGGTAGATAAGTCTCCATTTAGACATGCAATACGGGAGGTCGTGATGGCTAGGATCTGCACGAAACATGCTCTGATTGTGGTATATATGAGTCAAGAACGGAAACATGCCTTTGAGCGACGGACGTAGGGAGTATGGTTGTTCGCATCGGTATTGATATCTTGCATGAGTAGTTCTTCGTGAATAGATAGGTCTCCATCTATGCATACATCGCGGACTGTTGTGGTGGCAATAGTCTGCAAGAAGCATGTTCTATTTGTGGTATATGAGTCAGAGACGGAAACATGCCTTCGGACGTATACCCTGAGGTACTGTCCACTCTGAGATCATCTTATCGTGACCTCCACTGAAAATGTGATTGCCGTCCATGGAGAAAATGACACAGAAATTGTAGAGTGAGTACTCGAATATGGCAACGGTCCGTCGGTCTGAGAGCTGCCAGAGACGGATGTTGCGGTCACTAGATGCGGATGCAACGAGTGTGCCAGCAGGATGAATGGCAATGGCTTGGATGCCCTCAGTGTGGCCCGTCCAAGGATCACCGACCTGCCTCCAGGTTTTTGTATCCCATTCGTGTATAGTAGAATCTGTGACATCGCCGCCTATGAGAAGGCGTGTGCCGTCGGGCGTCCACGCGAGTGACAAGTTTGCTGATGTATGAGCCTTGAATGATGCGACGCGTTTCCTGGTGCCTGAATTAAAAATTCGAATAATGTCTTTTGTTGCGATGGCAAGAAGTTTTCCAGACGGTGAATACCGTACGCAGTTGACAAATTGACACTTGATCGGATTTCCTTGCAGCTCCCAGGTTTTGGTATTCCACAGTTTCGTCATTTTATCCAAGAATGAACCAGTGGCCAGCACTGTTCCATCGGGAGAAAAATCCAGCGAGAAGATACATTCAGAGTGTGTTTCGATTTTGGTGAGTGATTCGCCAGTTTCTCCTTGCCAGACGATGATCTCTCCGCTTGTATCACTGCTTGCTATCAGTTGCCCATCTCGTGATACCGCCAAACTCCACACCCAATTGCGATGCCCCTCCATCTTCTTCAACACAACACCTGTCTTCAAGTCCCATAGATGAAGCGTCTTGTCGTGCGAGCCCGTAACCATCCGACGTTTATCGGGGAAAACTGCGACTGCAGTTATGCGTTCTTTGTGGCCTTTGAACGATCGCAGGGGAGTGGTGATTGTAATGAGCTCCGACATTTTACTGGATGTTGATGGTATGGACTACGGATGAGGCTAAACTTTGAAGGGATGATATCTTTCTCTAAGCTGCAGAGGGTGTATGGTGCGTTTCATGGTGCTCCACAGCTTGCCTCATTTCAATAGACGCCCAGGATATCTAAGGCTGTTTGTGCCCACGCCTCCATCACCGTAATGCACCCACCCTATTGTCATACCCGCTGTCGTCGACAGTATGTACATCTGCAGTGCATACATGCGCGTCCGACTCCCGTCTTCGCAGGTTCCAGAATCTATCCCATCGCATCAAGTCGAGGAGTCCGTGCTTCCAGCACTCGAATCTGACTGTCTATCCTGCATGAATACCGTTGTTTTTCCTATCTAGCAGCTACTCCTGCTTATCACCACGTTACTCCTTCGAACGCATGTATATAGCTTACTGCAATATCACTTCTCCATCCAATAGACTCCCAAGATCCTTGTGTGCACAAGATGCAACGGACTCGCCTTACATTTAACCTCTATTTGGCGCCTCTTCCCATGTTGAATATGCTGACGGATCATTAACGAAGGCCAACGACACTAAGAACAAAGGTGATACATGATTTCACCCCAGAACCATATCCGCACAGCTCTTAGCATTACATTTTTATCAACTGCGATACTCTTTCCTTCGTGTGGCGAGGGGTGAATATACACGGGAATACAGGGTGCCTGCATCGACTGCCTCAGATAAAATGTAGGGGCCCCTGAGGATGACTCACGTCGTTAAGCCTCCGGTCCATTCCACTCCTTCAGCATCAGGCCCGACATTCCACCCTGGCGCACGTTCCAACCGGAAAACAGTTAGAATATTCACAACTGCGGCGAATAAAGAAGCATCGGCAACATGTCGTCCAACACTGCTGAAAGGTGAGCCAAACTCGTCTATCTGTCAAACTCTAAACTTCGTACCAAATACGCCTTCCAAATCCAAAAACAAAAGAAATGACATCACTGGCAGGGTCGTGTGTTGACGGCTCTTCGACGGCGACTTTTGACATGTGACGCTCGGGTATGAACCTCGTCGGGTTAGGATATTTGTCTGGATTGCGCGCCATAAACCTTGCATAAGAAGAGATGGTTATGTCTGATCTTTGTTCACTTGACATAATGAATCACCATGCGTTGGGTACTACAGTAGCCCCTTAAGAAACAGTTTTAGAAGGAGGATAGGTCTCTCAGTCCATAGACTGACCTTTTGGAATATAGTAGCCTTCGTAGATGTCTTCATTGACCGTGGCATGTGCAATACCTAAATCCAGTCAGTGACCGTGCTAACGGGAATTCAACGAGTCAAGAGTGCTGACCCAGAGGGGCGACAGGGAACCACCTTAGCGTCTCCAGTATGATGGCATTGATGTAGGGCATAGAAGCGCGATCATCCCAGTTGGGTAATCTTTCAAGAGTTTCCCCGATGACAGAATCAATCTCTGCTTGCGCACGTGCTTGCACCTCGGGATACAGAACCATCGCGAGCAGGAAGACGTATAAAGTGGACGTCGTCTGTGCCTTTGGTCAGTATATAAATAAAATAGAAATCACGTCAAAGTATACAGTTCCTGAGGCGGCTAGGAGCACGGAGAAAATAAGTAGAGATATAATGACCATTGCAGATTTGTCACGAACCAGCATAACCAGTTGCACTGGATTCCTTGATCCCTTTCTCCAAAACAGCGGCCTCCCCTTCATCTTGTGTTTTGACTGCTATACGTGTCAATGCATCCGACACCACGGATGGTGCAGCTGTCCCCGCGGCCTGAGAATCATCATAAGCATCATCTAAAAATACTCAAATCAAAAGGCACTTGGAACTTGCCATGTTGGCCTTGACATGTTCAAAGGGCATGTCCACAATCATGGGAACGAGGGTTCTCTGGACTATAAAATCCCTGACAAAGCTCGCTCCAGGGAGCCAAGGAGGGAGTTTTTCTACTGTGGGTGTATTAGAATAGAACTACAACTGATCGAAGTCATACGCACATATGGGGAATTGTGTTACAACAGCTGCGACCTCGGGCCTGAACACTCTTACATCTATCTCAAGTGAGCGTTCAATGAGCGCGAGGAAAGGATCATTGACAGGCGCTATAGCATAGTCATACATGATTGACATTATGGTAGACGTGCTGAAGCTACGTAGAAAGTATTGTTCAGCCACGCAATACATGAAAGGAGATATTACTAACGTGTGTAAATGGGTTCCATACACCTCCGGAGAGGCTAGTAGGTTCAGTATCAAACTGCGAGCATTGCGCATTTGAATCGGACGGAAGGATGACACTGCTTCTAAACGGAATGCTTCATGGAAGATTCGCCTGTCTGTAAAGACATGATAAGTGCGATAAGAGAGCTCAAAGGGATGATATACTAACGAAGTCTCCACTTGTCTGAGTAGGGTAGAAAGGTAGTGGAGTAGTCATGACCAAAACTAGGACTCGTTTAACAACGGGTACATCAAAAGATAGAAGGGCCTCACAAGTCAAGAATATGCACGAGCCCTGGAGGTCTCGTGGAATAGTTATGTGAACGACGATCGAGCAAGTCATGTGCAACTCTTTCGGAGTTGATGATCACGATGTCCTGACTGAAGAGTCGGGTGTAAACGATTTCCCCTGTGTCGCAATTCAGTACATCCAGATCCACATGTCGAAGGTTCTACGCACCATACTCAGTTCCCCATCTTGAGTATGCTAACCATGGATGATCTGGGTCGATTCCAATCACATTTCCAACAAAAGGGAGAGGTGGAGGACCAGGGGGTAGATGATGCTTCTTAGTCTCTCTCTTCTTTTGCAAGGATTGGACTACCACGAAAGATACAAGTGTTATGAGGGCGAGTGCAAGTACTAGTGTTGGGGTCATCGTTCAAACCGAATAAGTAACTGAAGCTCCCCAGTATGTGTCTGGATTTTGTGCGGCCAGTGACCCCATCAATGCTGTGAGGCTATGTATGTTGTCCCCGAAAACTTCGGACATCGATTCTTGACGGCCTCGAACCCTTTGAACAGTGTCGTCGAAGTACAGCTAATTGGCTTCAGTCTGTGGAGATCGATTGTATTGGACCTGCATATATTATTATCTGCACGGCTAGACTGTAGACAAGACTGTAGGCCATGCCATACCGCCATAAACGGTACCTTTACGACACAAGTCGGACAGTGTGCCTGCCCTGAACTGTCATGCCTCTGCAGGTGACCGACAGCCACGGCAACGACTTTACTAGTTCACATAGCTTCAGCCTTTTATGTAACATCCAACACCGTTTGTCACGATAATAAGTTATTTGATATTGACGTCGTCTTGCAGCTTCGATAGAAGCCGATCCACGTGCAACAAGCAGTCAGATTAGCTGCCAGCTGGACACTGGCGGCATTTCTAGTCATACAGGGTTGTTATGAAATCATCTAGGTGCTCCACTTCCTGATTTGCGTCATGAATCTAAACTCGTTTATTAACTTTGGCTTCGTTCATGGCAGGAAACGTTACCCTGGTACTTTCAAAAATGATCAAGGTGATGGTTGGCATGCGACTCGTGCGAGCACTTCAAGTTGCAGAGTGATTGATCATCCGAGACTCCCTCTCCTGTAGGTCATGCACTGCTATGACTATTTCGGCTGCAGCCCTGGCCGATATCTACGATACTCAATAGCGAGTGTCTTGATGATGCCACTTGCATATCCGCTTTCGGGCCTGTAGCTTGACGTCTGTGCTTTGCTCATTGTCACTCACTGCGGGAAGCCCGGACACTGGATGGCAACAGGCTTATCTCTGTGTCACATGGCCCGGCGATTAAGACCATCCCGGGTGTCATATAGAATGATCTCCCACTTCAGGTTGCAGGTCCTATGTAGCTGAGAAGTCGTTAATGAATGCATGTGACGAGCTTTCTGATATTTTAAGACCGACACTCCACAAGGTCGAGCCATGCTCAAGGATCGCCCCCGAGTACCGCTAGGCTTTGTCGATGGCGTTATGTATCCCGTCTGCACCCTCTTCTTGGCATCTTGGCACCTTTCGGCACCGGATCCCCTGTTGTGAAGTCATCTGCGATTTTTGACCAACTCTCGTGGCTATCTCAAAGATAGGAATGTAGAGTGGGCTTTGCTCGCATACATAATCAATATCTGCTGTAGTCATCGAACATCGAACATTTTCTCCCCGACCGGTGAGGAGCAAGAGTCGATCGGATACAAGGTGTTATACACTTACCTGGCGGACAGGGCATAATACGACACCCTCCGGAATGTAAGATATCAAGAGCGGAGATACAACCCTGGAGGTGTTTGCATGGGTGATGATCCATTCACCCAATCACACAATTTGTGACGGGCCGATATCGTGATTGGAACACGATGATGGGCTCCGTGGTGCACGCTGCTTGCCCAATCTTACACCTTTTTCGTATATCGTGTGTGTATGTATGTCTTCTCCTTCTATGATCATATCCTTCTGTAATTATCGGATCTCTCCAGAACATCCGCCGCCCATGCAGAAGCTTAATGCGATTGAAGCAAGAAGCCATACATATATATAGCTATAGGAGGCGCATCACCAAGTTGCATAATCGCCGTCGATTCCCCCACTTCCCCGTTGTTATAAGGACGGTCGTGTTATATACAGTTTACTTACCCACTGCTCGAATCATGGCCCTTGCACTTGATCGCCACCTTACTATCCTCGCTGGCATTTCTCTTTCCTTTGTTGTTGTCAAGGCACTCAACCGGTTCATCAAAAAGCAACAGAACAATGCTCCTCTTCCTCCTGGCCCAGTGCCCCTCCCACTGCTGGGGAGCGTCTTATCTATCGACGCTTATGAGCCTTGGCTGACTTACACTGAATGGGGTGCTGTGTATGGTACGTGGACAGATACCATAGATCATACGTGGTGTGAATCATTACATCAGGGGACTTGCTCTTCGTGCGAAGTCTAGACGAGGAAATGGTCGTGGTCAATTCCCAGCCCATTGCAGAAGCCTTACTGGACAAACGTTCTCGGATTTACTCCGATCGACCATACCTAGCAACACTCGAGCCGTGAGTTCGTTCAGTATTCCTTTATTCAACCATTCTGAGGTTCTCGCAGATATGGGTTGTCGCTCAACTTTGCATTCATTGCTTATGGCGACGAATGGCGTCTCTGCAGACGACTTTTCCACCAAACTTTCCGTCCCGACTCTGCAGCAAAATTTCGCCCGATGCAAATCCAGCGTGCTCGTGAGATTGTCGTCAACCTGGTCAATGACCCTGAAAATTATTACGACCACTTCGCAACGTCAGCGAATGATTTTTTACGAATTGAACCATTATTTACCTGTTCACAGATTCTCGTTATCTGTTGTGATGTCAACAGTATACGACTACGATATCGGTGCTCGTGATGATCCTATGGTGCAGACCGTCATAAAGGCACTGGTTCCAGGCTTGACCGTGTTGACCCCAGAGAGAGCATTACTGCTCAAAACCTTTCCCTTCTGTGAGCCCAACTCTCCTGGATGAGACAACATTAACGTGACACGGACTTTTGTGAAATGTAGTACTAAAGGTGCCTGACTGGTGCTGGGGATCCTCGATCAAGCGTAGTGCTCGAAGTTCGAGGGAGCGCCTCAATGCAATGGCCGACATACCATTTCGATATGTGCAGCAGCACATGGTGGGTGTTTATTTTTCTCTTGATTCTAGACATTAACTCGGCTCTTGGGAAGGCCGACGGCTCGTTGGTCGCTCAGTCCTCGATGGTTGCAGAAAATTTGCGACGGATGGAGAGGCAAGAGGAAGCATTCAAGCCTGCATTCGAGAATGCATTGAAGAAAGCAGGTACTACTGCTATTATAGGTAAGTCAGCCTTTTAATCAGCAACGTTGTACTCTCGACATGCACTAATATCACACAGCTTCATATGAGACGGTAAATGGACAACTCCATCATGTTGACCGCTGCTTATCGTCATCACAGAGTGCAGCTACTTTGATGATTTTTTTCCTGGCCATGGTATTATATCCTGAAGTTCAGAAACGCGCACAAGCAGAAATCGACTCGGTGGTTGGAAAAGAACGGCTGCCAACGTTCGAGGACAGAGCATCGCTACCCTACATCGATGCAATTGTGCGAGAGACTTGGCGATGGCAGCCTGTTACGCCTCTTGGTATTCTTCCCCGCCAAGTGATCTGGCATGTGCTGAAGATGACCTCATAGGCGTACCACATGCTGCCTCGAGTGATGACGTATACAATGGGTATTTCATTCCAAAAGGTCCGTTGTTTTGTCCCGGAATCAACGCGATGATTATTTATAATATCGTGCATCAGGCGCAATCATCACATACAACACATGGTCTGATATGTTCCTCTCAGCTTTTGTGGTACTGACTTGATTCTAGGGCCATTACACGGGATGAAAAACGGTACCCCGACGCATCTAATTTTATACCAGAGAGGTTCATCGACAGTAATGGCGCGTTGACAAGTGACGACCCCGCACAATACATTTTTGGCCTTGGCCGGCGTATATGTCCAGGTTCGTTAACTTATTCTAACCCTATAAAAGATCCACCGACTGATAGACCTTGATAAGGGCGGTACAATGCTGATTTCTCCGCATGGGCTGCCATTGCGACTATGTTAGCCACGTTGGATATTTCTCCTGCCAAAGATGACCAGGGCAAAGAGATCAGCTTTACTCCTGAGTTCATCCCAGGAGTGGTCCGGTACTTGACTTCCTCGTGTTATTATACCCTCTCGTCACTGACCGTTTCGTTGCTTCAGGTTTCCTGCGACCTTCCCTTGCAGTATTTCGGCACGGTCTCATATTCATTCAGACACTGTGGACAGTTGGCGAACTGCCGAGGTTTGAGAGAAGGGATAACAGTTTGCTATCCGTGGTCTGATTGGGAGCAGCTAGAGGCAACGTAGTGCTAATCGATCGAGTACTTCCTGCCAGTGTATACTGAGTCAGTAGACGCGATGAACGTGTCCAGTTATTCGAGGGCTATGACATTTTGGTGACGGGGTCCTTGCCATTTACAATATCAAAGTTCGACTTAAAGATGAGATCATTGGGGCTGGGTACGGCGTGCCAGACGCACAGCTCCTTCACGCTGATGGGTGGTTTCATCCTTTATGTGGATGGGGAATCCTGCCTCACCCTACGCCCTGATTATATTCTTAAATTGATACATGAAAGGTGTGCATGTCTTGATGTCCCTACCCTAACGAAAAGCCAGATTCAAGACAAGAGCAAAGGTAATGCGCAATCAAAAGGATTAGTGATGTTTCAGGTGGCCTGGTCTGTTATGCAGCTCTGAGTCATCACCCGCGCCATCTATCGCCTCGAAACTACGCAGCTCGAAGTGGGGACACTCGCTTTTACGGTTCTCAATTTCCTAACTTATGCTGTGTGGTAGGACAAGCCTCTTAACGTGCAATGTCTATAGTATCCAGTGTACTGGAAGTCGACCGAGTCAAGGCCAGAGGATCACATTGAGTATGTATGCACCTCAGCAATTATACCGTTGCTTATCCTGTCTGCCTTAGTGTCAGTGACAGAGATGCATTCACTCAGCTTCAGATCTTGCATTAAGTCTTCCGCCCAGTTATAGAGCTGATGGGCTGGGCTGAGATTCCCACATCTCGAAAGCTCCGAGTTCCAACATTTGATGGCAGCATCAAACTCGAAATGAAGGTGCGGCAGCCGGCCTTCAGTACTCAGTTGTGGTGCAAGGGGAGGAGCAGTGAGGAACGTGAGATGGAGGGTGACTGCGACATGATGCAATTGTAAAGTGTAAATTATAGATAGAGCACCAACGACTTTAATGCATGAAGATGACCGTGTGCATCCGTTCCTAACAGCCTCAATTGAAGTCACCGTGGCACCTGTGCCAGTCGATCCTGTCAAGATCAGCGAAGCAAGTTCGTGCTTTCCCACTATTCCCGCCCATCATGCTGTTGAAGCTTCGAAGAATTCTTGCATTATGGACATGTTCTTCTTCAGCTCCATCCCATCCTTCCCCTTCCCCTTCATCCCCGGCACCAAATCCGCAATCGAGAACTCACTTTCTCACTTCAACAGCCCGACGTCCCACCACCCGTGACTGGTCTCTGGTGGCTGCAGATGTGAATCTCGAGGCAAAGCTGGAGTCGGAGCAGATGCTAAGGTGGGGGCAGATGATAAGAACGAGCAGAGTATATGGCGTTAAATGAGCTGTCGACGACATCGGAGATGATTTTGATAGTGGACCCTGCGATGGCATCGGAACCCTGTTCTACACGTCCGCGGAGGCTACCGGGTACGTCTACAGGTATGTCTGGTGGAAATGTAGTGCGCACCGTTGCGATTTGGGTGAGGTCCCTGGTGCTGTAGAAAATGAATGTTAGCGCATCGAGTGGGAATTGATGTTAGAACATGGGAAAAGAACAGTGATTTAAAGTAGACAAACGAACGATATGGATGATCAAGAAGCTGAAACACCCACCTAACAATACCGACGCCTTCCTCAACACCCACAGCATCAAAATCCACATTCTCCGAAAACTCGCATGACAGCCCATCAAATTGATCAAACAGTACCACTCCTCTTCACCAGCGAACGCAGCATTACGGTAACGCTGGGTGCGCGAGACCAGGCGTGCGATGTCTGATTTAACAATGTGAGAAGTGGGAGGAAGACATCGCCTGATACTGTCATCGACTGTTGGACATGGGAGATGGTCAATCGAGGCGAGGAAGTGGGATGAAGATAGAGGAGGATCATGTAGTCGATGATGGTGCGAGGGGCTAGGCGAGAGAGAGAACTTCTCAGGTGACCCGTGAGCTGCATCCTCATCGGATTGTGGATAACGCGTCGGGAGAAACAACGAGCGGGGAGAAGAGATGAAAGATTGATGTCGGGGAACTTTGTTGACAAGAGTGAGGAGCGAAACGTCGATTTTCCGCTGAATATACATATTAGGTCAAACTGGTGATAAGTAACGAAACCATAGAGGAAATGAACCTAAATAAGTGTCCGTGCAAGACAGAGAGTGTAACCACTTGAGTATTTTCTTTAAATAAAGGATCGCACACGAGTATATGATTTGACACGAACTCAGGCGTGAACTTCCCCTGTCCTAAATACTACTCAAGCGGGAGCAGCAGAGATGCCTACGAAACCGTTTTCCGTGAGCTGAATTGTCACAATCGATGAAAACGGACCTCAACCAAAGTGCCGGCACACCCATGGATAAACACTGCGAAGTGGCCTTGTTTCTTGAGCCTGAAGAACCGGCTCAAGAGAGATAGCATGAATGTCACAGACATGCTAGTAGAGAGTAGACCAGAAAACAAATGAGAACAAAACATCAAGCACTGGCGATGATAAAACTTACCTCCGAGTACACCCTAGCAACCTCCTCGCGAGTCCTCGTGCTGCGCACCTCACATTGCCATGAGATTCGCCTGAAGACCCATGACTCCAACGAAACGGGCGCACTGATACTTGGTGCTTCGATGACGAGTTTGACGGTGAAGGAGGTTGAATCTAAGTCTATCCGTTTATCCGGAAAATGCCGGATGGCATCCAAATCGGTGTTACACCTACTAGCTGTTTAACACTAGTACTCAACGACTGCACTGTTGATCATTAAATGCTCGATTACACCTTACATCGTCTAGTACTAAGTTCACTGGTTAGGCTACTGATTTATAATCAGCTCCCTGTAGGTGATGCACCGCCATGACTACTTCGGCTGCAACCCTGGCCGATATCTACGATACACGCGAGCGAGCCCGCCTCGAATTTCGATGATGCCACCAACATATTCGCTTTCGGGCCTTCAGCTTGAGAAGTCTGCGCTTTGCTCATTGCTACTCGCCACTGGAAGCCCGGACATTGGATGGAAAGAAGCTGACATCCGCGTCACATGGCCCAACGATGAAGATCCTGAGTATCATATGGACTAATCTCTCACGTCAAGTTGCGGGTCCTAGCTGAGAAGTCGTTAATGAATGTATGTAACGAGCTTCTTGATCTTTTCAACCGTTTTAACATCGACATCGCCACAAGGTCGAGCCATACTCAAGGATCTCCGCCGAGTACCGCCAGGCTTTTTCGATGGCGACAAAATGACTCGTCTGCATTTTTTGACCAACTCTTGTGGCTATCTCAAAAGATAGGTATGTAGAATCTAAATTTACCAGTAATCCCTGCCTCTCTTATCCAATTTTTTATGTGGACTTTGTTCGCATACATGATCAAGATCTGCTGCAGCAATTTGCGATGGGCTCCGCGGTGCATGCTGCTTGCCCAATCTTACACCTTTTTCATATCTTGTGTATGTATGTATGTCTTCTCCTTCAATGATCATATCCTTCTGTGATCATCGGATATCTCCAGAACATGCGCCGCCTATGGAGAAGTTTGATGTGATTTGAACAAGAAGTCATATGTGAATAAGCGATGGGAGGCGCATTACCGAGTTGCATAATCGCCATCGATTACCCCACTTCCCCGCGGTTATAAGGACGGTCGTTATATACAGTTTACTAATCCACTGCTCGAATTATGGCCCTTGCACTTGATCGCCACCTTGCTATCCTCGCTGGCATTTCTCTTTCCTTTGTCGCCGTCAAGGCACTCAACCGGTTCATCAAAAAGCGACAGAACAATGCTCCTCTTCCTCCTGGCCCAGTGCCCCTCCCACTGTTGGGGAGCGCCTTATCTATCGACGCTTATGAGCCTTGGCTGACTTACACCGAGTGGAGTGCTGCGTATGGTACGTGAACAGATACCATAGAGCATACGTGGTGTGAATCATTATCTCAGGAGACTTGGTCTTCGTGCGAAGTCTAGACGAGGAAATGGTCGTGATTAATTCTCAGCACATCGCAGAAGCCTTACTGGACAAGCGTTCTCGTATTTACTCCGATCGACCATACCTAGCAACACTCGAGCCGTGAGTTCGTTCAGTGTCCCTCTATTCAACCAGTCTAAGGTTCTCGCAGATATGGGTTGTCGATCAACTTTTCATTCATAGCTTATGGCGATGAATGGCGTCTCTGCAGACGACTTTTCCACCAAACTTTTCGCCCCGAGTCTGTAACAAAATTTCGCCCAATGCAAATCAAGCGGGCTCGTGATATTATCGTCAACCTAATCGATGACCCCGAAAATTATTACGACCACTTCGCAACGTCAGCGAATGATTTTTTACGAATTGAACGATTATTTACCTGTTCACAGATTCTCGTTATCTGTTGTGATGTCAGCTGTATACGACTACGATATCAGTGCTCGTGATGATCCTATGGTGCAGACCGTCATAAAGGCACTGGTTCCAGGCTTGACCTTGATAACCCCCGAGAGAGCATTAATGCTCAAAACCTTTCCCTTCTGTGAGCCCAACTCTCCTGGATGAGACAACGTTAACGTGACACGGACTTTTGTGAAATGTAGTACTAAAGGTACCTGACTGGTGCTGGGGATCCTCGATCAAGCGTAGTGCTCGAGGTTCGACGGAGCGCATCAATGAAATGGCCGACATGCCGTTTCGATATGTGCAGCAGCACATGGTGGGTATCTATCTTTCTCTTGGTTCTAGACATTGACTCGGCTCTTGGGAAGGCCGACGGCTCGTTGCTCGCTCGATCTTCGATGGTTGCAGAAAATTTACAACGGATGGAGAGGCAAGATGAGGCATTCAAACCTGTATTCGAGAATGGGTTGAAGAAAGCAGCTACTACTGCTATTATAGGTAAGTAAGCAAGCCTTTTGACGGGCAACGCTGTGCTCTTGACATGCACTAATATTGCGCAGCTTCATATGAGACGGTAAGTAGACAACTCATCATGTTCTCCGCTCCTTATCCTCGTTACAGACTGCGGCAACTTTGATGGTTTTTTCCCTGGCCATGGTATTATATCCTGAAGTTCAGAAACGCGCACAAGCGGAAATCGACTCGGTGGTCGGAAAAGAACGGCTGCCAACGTTCGAGGACAGAGCATCGCTACCCTACATCGAAGCAGTCCTGCGAGAGACTTGGCGATGGCAACCTGTCGTGCCCCTTGGTATTCTTCCCCGCCAAATGATCTGGCCTGTGCTGAAGATGACCTCATAGGCGTACCACATGCTGCCTCGAGTGATGACGTATACGATGGGTACTTCATTCCAAAAGGTCCGTTGTTTTTGTCCCGCAATCAACGCAATAATTATTTATAGTATCGTGCATCAGGCGCAATCATCACATACAACACATGGTTTGATATGTTCCTCCCAGCTTTTGTGGTACTGACTTGATTGTAGGGGTATCACACGGGATGAAAAGCGGTACCCCGACGCATCTAATTTTATACCAGAAAGATTCATTGACAACGATGGCACGTTGACAGGTGATGACCCCGCACAATACATTTTTGGCCTTGGCCGGCGTATATGTCCAGGTTCGTTAACTTATTCTAACCCTATAAAAGATTCACTGACAGATAGACTTTGATCAGGCCGGCATAACGCTGATTCCTCCCTGTGGGTTGCCATTGCGACCATGTTAGCCACGTTGGATATTTCTCCTGCCAAAGATGACCAGGGCAAAGAGATCAGCTTTACTCCCGAATTTATCCCAGGATTGGTCCGGTACTTGACTTTCTTCGTGTTATTCTATCCCCTTGTTACTGACAGTGTTGTTGCTTCAGGTTTCCTGCGACCTTCCCTTGCAGTATTTCGGCGCGATCCCACATTCATTCAGACATTGTGGACAGTTGGCGAACTGCCGAGTTTTGAAAAGAAGGGATGGCAGTTTGTCATCCGTGATAGAGGTGACGTAGCAATCGAACAAGTACTTCTTGCCAGTGTATAACAGATCAGCAAACGCGATGAACGTATCAGTTATTCGAGGGTTGTAATGTTTTGGTGACGGGGTGCTTGCCATTTGATATTAATATCAAAGTTCAAGTTGAAGGTGAGATCATCAGGGCTGGGTGGGCAGCCTGGGACATGTCACACGGTAGCCGAAGATCCGAGGGGACTTGAAGCTTGACGTATCTTGTTTTCGTGAAATTTGTAAAGCAATCGTCAAGTCTATCTACCCTCACATTTGTCGCAAATTTCCTAAGTCGGTTGTAATCAGGTACCGTTTACATCGTGTTACAATGACGATTACAAACCATGTTGTAAGATTGATGGCGGGGTTTCAAGCGGTTGCAATACGCATGCAAGATGATTGATATTTGTCTCGATTCTCGAATTCCCCCCCTCGCAGCATTTTGAGTGTTCTCTCCTATTCTTTCCATCCAAATCTCTCCCAGCACACAAACCATCCACAAAATGGGCCCTGAGAGGACAAGATATTGCGACTTGTGTCAACAGGACATCAAACCTCGTGGCTACACCACCCACCGCAAGGCTTGCGAGAAGAAAGCCGAAAAACAACGGCAGAATCAACATTTCGTTGATTCTATTCGAAGAGACACAGGTACGCACAATTTCTCGTTGTTTACAACGTCTAATTTTGCTAGCGGGTCCTTCGAATCTGCAACGGACGATGGGAGATCACATTGATACAGTGTCGAGACAGGGAGGTAAGTGCCTGTTAGTCTGATTTTAAATTGATACATTCAAGTTGAAACAGGGCAATGCAATACCTCACCTGCAGGTACTTGGAATGATCTGGATGGTGCGGAATACCAAGGTGAGCTCAAATTATGTGCTTTTACATTCATTATCGAAACTTTACTAGATCTTCCCTCGTTTCTCGATGCCGATGTCCCTGAACGCGTGGAACCCATGTTCCAGGTCGATGACATCAAGCTCGAGCACCATCCTAGCAGCGGGATCACACCAGAAGTACACGGCTTCAACGATTTCAAACGCCGTCCACCAACGTCTTCTGCCCCACCTCATAAACGTCCCTGGGCTCCATTTAAGTCACGCTTGGAGTTCGAGATAGCCGAACTTGCTCTGGAGGCCTGTCTCAACAATGATCAAACTGATCGTCTCATTACGTTGTGTAACAGGTGCGCTTCTCAATCGGAAAAATTTACGTTCAAGAACCACAAAGACATCCGCGAAAGGTGGGAAGCCGTCTCCCATCGCACTACTGGGGTTTTTTTCCTTCGTTCATTCTGATATTCATTGTCTAACAACTAAGTTTAGTTTACTCATGATGTAATATCTGTACCATACGATGATTCAATTCGACAATTCGAGCTATACTACCGGGATCTCTGGGAGTGGGCGGCAGATCTTCTCCGTGATCCTCGCTTGTTCCCACACATGGTTTTTGATGCGCAGCGCTTCTCGAAATTTGATGGCAAGACCTTCGTACGTTTCATAGACGAACCTTTCACTGCCGAAACCTTTTGGAATGTTCAAGTAGGTACTTAATCTCACTGTCAATTTTGATCGCCTTACTTTGCTTTGTAGTCACAGCTACCACCGGGCGGCAAGCCCTTAGCTTTCATTTTGTATGCGGACAAGACAAGGTTGTCGTCATTTGGTACCGCAAGAGGGTATCCTGTTGTTGCACGTCTAGCAAATCTCCCCGCGAACATTCGTAACGGACAGGGTGTGGGTAGCGGCTATGTAGTTGGATGGCTTCCGATTGTATGACACAGTAATATTGATATATCTGCGGTTGGGACTTATACTCTGACGCAGGTGAAGGAGGACAGAGACCAAGCTGGCAAGCCCAGCTGGGTCAACTTCAAGAATGCCGTTTGGCATGAATCATTCTCAAAGATCCTATCTTCGCTCGCATCAAAGTCTCATACTGGACAGTGGTTTGATTGCCCTGACAACGTTCCGCGGTGGTTCTTTCCTATTATCCTAATTTTATCTGCAGACTACGAGGAACAGTGAGTAATATCACACTTCGATGTTAATCTGAATCGCTAATGAATATCATTAACTATTTAAGATGTATTATGTCGCTAATCCGAGGGATAAAATGCCTTTGGCCATGTCCAGTGTGTCTCGTTCCCCACGACGAGCTTTTGAATACATTAAAGTGTTATCCTCCTCGAACGGCTACCCAGTCGCAGGAAGTGGTGAAGGCTGCACGAGCTGAGGCGACTGCTGAGGAGAAAGAGGAGAAACTGAAAGAGTATGGCCTTCGTGACATCATGGTAATGTTTTCTCTGTTGTAAGTTCGTTCTAACTAATCAAAGCTACAGAATGCCTTTGCGGCCATGATGCATACTGATGTACATGATGCGTTGTCATGGGACCGACTCCACTTCAATGGTGGTCTGTATCGTGACCACCTCTGGGCCGAACTTCAGAAAATCGTTGTCGGTTTGGGACGAGTGAAAGTAGCACAAATGGACAAAAAGTCAGTTTGTGACTCAAGCGCTGTAACATTGTTTTGAATTGACCCATTTAACTACTAGCTACGAAGCATTCCCGCGCTGGCGAAACTTGAAGCACTTAGCTCACGTTATGAGCATCTCTTTCGCTGATGGCAGTGTCTACGAGGACATATCAAAGGTGTGTTTTTGATTTAAACTATTACTTCATTGCCATTGACACTCTTTCAGATGGTGGTATATGCTGCGCACGCGATTTTGACGGAGGACGACAGTCCACTCGGCTATCTCCTACTCCGTTGCATTCGGCACTTTCTCGAAGTTGACGCATATGCGGCGCTTGAAGTTCACACCACTGAGACTATCAGTGCCGGCCGACATGCAGTGCAGGCATTCTCGACTTATCTTCAGGTGTGTCTACCTCAGTTCACTCAGACAATTATCCACTGATTAAGCCTATGATAGCAATATATAGAGAAAAGCGCTGATGAGAGCGACAAAAACTGGAACTTCCCCAAACTGCACATGAGTGTGCACATTTTTGACAATATCGAAGCAAAAGGTGCGACACGTAACTACAATACAAAGCCGAATGAAAGGATGCATGGGTCGCTGAAAGACTCGTACTTATTGCGCACTAATTTCAGGGATGTGGCGCCTCAGGTGACGTTCTTTTCACTCTAACTATCATTTTGATACCAATTTCATTGCAGATACTCCGCATAAACCATTGGCAAGTGGTTGCGGAGAGCATTCGCCGCCACATATCAGACCTAGACGAGTATGAGTCCGGAGGCAGCGAAGATTCGGGTGACCTGGAGGATTTAGGAGATGTGGATGATCTGGTCTCGCCGGATGCAAATGCGCCTCATGTAAGACTTGGGTCGAGGCAAGCTGCGCAGACCTTTGAGTTGATCGAGGATGCTCATAAGGAGGATGCCGCGTTCACTAATTTTCGGGTCAAGCTCAATAATTTCTTGACTGACTTTCTTCAAGTTATTCGGCTCCCTTTACCAGGTGGAAAGCGGGTACAATTCAAAGCAAGTGATAAGGTTGGTCATGTTCAGTTCGGCTCTATGTTTCGCTACACTAATATCGTTAAACAGATCACTGAGTGCCGTTTTTTGAAGGTTAACTACGAGTCCTTGGTGGATTGGCGACTACACACCGACTACCTTAGATGCAGTCCCAAGTTTTTCAATGCTGCGCGTTTTGATTGTGTTTTCATTCAGACAGAAGCCAAAGTGATATTTGGTCGCCTTCTCTTTCTGTTTGAATGTATAGTTGGGGATATCACGCTCTCTCTAGCTCTAATCCATCCTTTTGACGCTCCCACTGGTGTACGGCTCCGAAAGGACAAACACCTCAATATCTATCGTGTTCGAGCAAGACCCCGAGCGCAAGCCGAGTTTTTCTCAGTGAGGTCAATCATTCGCGGAGCTCTCCTTGTGCCGGATGGCAGTACCGATTACCTTGTCGTCGACACTGTCGACTCTGACATGTTCATTCGTGTAAAGGAGCTACATCTTGCAGCAGGGCATCCAATACGCATTTGATTGTATCCCTTCAAGTCGGCTTCCTCTCTCTATGCCTGGTAAGCCTCTCATTTTCTTCGCTCGTTGTCTCACTAATGGTCTAATTATACTAGGCTATCTTCATGCAGTAAGTCGTCGATTTTGTTGCAGCCCTTGGCTGCCCCTCAACTGTTCTGAAGGCCTTGCAGTACCGACAGAGTATGACCGCAACGACAAAGAACCTATTAGCGGCAGCCGCTCCCGGTGCTTCTGAGCAAGGTTTCCATCCTGTGCAAGGTCAACAACAGTTTGCTGGTCCCCAGAACAATCGAATCGGCCAGAACTTGGCTCAAGCCAAACCTATGGGCGGCATGGCGCCACCTGCGTCACCAGCTATGGGTGGTCCCATGAAAGATCAGAAGGATGTCAAACCCATCATGATCAATAACCCTTCAGGTATACCAGAAGGGTCACCTCACAACGCTCCTGCTGCTCCAGGCCACCCGACTCCCAATACCATCAACTCAAGTATCATGCAGTCTCCTGCTCCGAACGGGACACCTTCAGTACCTCCGGCTTCGAATCCCCCGGGCGTTGGCAACCACAACAGATTCAGCAGCAATTCGGTCTTACCTCCACCCAGCGTGTCCCTCCCTCTGCCCCGTCTTTTCATGACCCTCAGTCCAACCCTCCTATCATACCACCCAACTTCCCCTCCATGCCTATGAATACCCCACAAATGAAACCGGGCAATTCGATCCCAGTCTATCTGATCTACCAACTCACCTCATACAGACTTCGTGCAATCTATGACAGCAGCATTGGAACAGCGTGTTTCAGATGTCGCGTTGTTTGTGACCTCTGTTATAATGTTTTTTACGTCTTGATCTGACCTTGCTTGTCATAGACCTCTAACGCCGCCATGAATGCTGCAATTGCTTTAACTCCAATAGGTTCCTTGGCATTGACGTGCCGATGTGTGAGAGAGAATGACTAGGGTAGGTCGCTCTTCCATCAACATGTGGCCTTCAGTCGTGTTTTTGTTTACGTGCCTCTCATTAGTTCACTGGTATTATTACGCGCAAGACTGAATCAATGTCGTCACTCGCAGTAATGTTACGTCTAGTATACACGAGGTAAGCAGTACATCTCATCCTATATATTAGGGTGACATTCACACTGTTTTCTCCGTCACCTTACCATCGAGCATCTAGAACATGTCTCATCTCTCAGCGCGGGTGTCAGATGATGATTCAGATAGCGACTGGGACGAAGGCAATACGGACCAGGTCTCGAATAACATCCCAGGGCCTAATGCCTCCAAGGGAGAGTTAATGGAAGTATGTAGCCACCGTCTTCATCGCATAACGCTGTCTAACGTACACTCTCCTCAATACAGGCACTCAAAGCGCTGCAGCTTGAGGTTCAGCAGCTGCGTGCAGACAATCGTGCCCTTAAGGAGAAAAATAAGGTTCTGGTTTCCGAGAAGCCTAAACGGAAACGGCGTGTAGAAGCACCGGATGCCCTCGTCGCCCATGAGCAAACTATCTCGTTGTATGCCCGCAAATATGGCATGACAGTGGAGATGTTCCCAGACAGCGAGCTTCTCATCAAGAAGCGCCCCGATTCACCTACACCTTTTAATAGTGCTGATCGTTACAAGACGTCGGCAACTCAAGAGTCTGCTTTCTTAGATGAACTCTATGCACATTTCCCTGAACGCATCCATGAAACGGTAATGGGTAGCGAGTACTTCAAAGACCTCGTATGTCAATTTTGCTTTTCATTCTAGCCACTACCTAATGTATTTGGTTGTTACAGGTAAATAAGTGCATCGCCGATGCTCGTTCTAACGAAATCAAGAAATTGCGTGGCGTTGCTGGAGACATATTCGAGCTTCCGGGAAAATACTTTGCCAATGCCAGTTATGACAGAGCTGCGATTGTCGACATTCAGAAGATGTTTGGAGTTTCCGGCAAGACTCAGACTTACAAGATTTTTCCGCCTCTCTTGTTCCCAAGTCTCCAAGAAGACACAACCCTCAAGACCGTTTTCGGCAACTGGACACTTTTTGCAAAGGTGCGCTATCATTCTCTCATAATTGTCCTGCTGCTCACTAGTACTCTACTGATACTGGCATATCTAGATCCTGAGGGCCTCACTCTATGGCGTCACCTCGCTTCATCAAGAGCCTTGTGGTGGATCGAAGACTAACGCTCGGAAGTGGAGTTTGCAACAAGTCACACCAGGGTCCATTGCATGGGCTGCGGTTATTGTAAGTCATTTTGATGACATTGAATCGTTCTACTACTCATACACTACTGCAACACAGGTCATTTTTCTGCTCTCGCCAGACACAGAGTTTCCAGGTTCGGGAGTTGGCAAGTCGTCAACTATCAACTACAAGGACCTCTTCTTTCAATACAAGAAGTTGCTAATTACGAAGTGGGAGACAAAACGTATCAAAACCATCGTGACTAACATCAATCGCTACGTTTTCGGTGCTGCAAAGTTGTCTACATCGATGGATCCTGCTGGTGCCGAAGATTTTTCAGAGGAGATCAACCGCGCCATGCTAGCACTTGACATGGACACTGATAGCGAAGAAGACACTCCAGTGACTCCACCGGTCTTGTCGGCACTCTCAGTATTACCCTCGGCAATATCAGCCTTACCAGCTCCTTCATTGGCGCCTGGACCTGAAGGTTCAAATCTCGTCACTCAGCCAGTCACACATCCAGACGAATCAGTATCTAGGGCTGTCATTCGCGCTAATGATTCGAATACAAGTGTCAATGCAGTAGCTAACAATGCAGATGAAGCTGATGATGATAGGACGGAATCGGGTGGAGGACAAGCAAAGGCCAAGAATACTAGGGGGAGGAAGGTTGTAGCGACGCAGGGTCCTACTCGTCGTGGACGTTCTCGTAAAGTCTAAGTGATATAATACATGATAGCTAGCTAATACCCTTGCTGTTCTCTGTCAAATCACTCAGCGTCAATACACATCTTGTCATTCTGCAGCTCAAAAGAGCGGGTGGACTGATCTTGGAGCTGTTCGGACTGCTAACCATTCCTAGTCTCAATGGCAAACAAAATTGTCGCCAAACAAGAGTCTTCGCAATAGAAGGTTTGTGCGGGTAGTGTGGCGTGCCGCCTGACACACACACGAGGCCTTGCCACCAGAGGCGAGCCATGACAGTGCAAGATATTGGTGAAACAATAAGGCTAGTCTCCATGAACCATTTCGCGGTTGCTGCATGGATACAAATAGAGTCAGCCTTAAGTGCAATAGGATTGATGTGGATACCTCACCCTGGACAATACGTTCAGCTGATTCCTTTTCGCAAGTGGACCCAGGCGACCCTTCTCCTGTGAGACCAACTCTGGGACCTTGGCGCAGATTGCATCCAGATAACAGAGCGCTGTCTGTAGAACGCTGCCTGACGTGCGAGAACAACGAAGAACCTCGTGAACAAACCCTTTCATGGGCATAACGTTGCAATGCGGGGGCTGATTGCTCGAACCAAACGTCAGGGGGGTGGGCATGGGAGATGGTTGTGTCTGAATCATCAGAGATTGTAATATAGCCAGGAGAGGGGAGCTGAGTAAAGTTTGAACGTACCAACTAAACCAGATACATATTTTGATTTCTGGGAGTCGTCCGCCGACATTCTTGGGGATAAAATTGAGGAATCCGAGTCACAGATTATCCTACAGCTGCTTGATCTGAATCGCGGGTAAGTGATGCTTACATAACAATCATTTATTATTCATTGTAAAGTTTTCACACCGGTTTACATCTCTTACAACAACCACATTGTCAGTGTGACTGTAACGTCGCTTAGACTTAGACTTGTCGTCGCTCTGCTCGGACTTTCCGTCGATTCCTCTCTTGACTGAATCCCTCTTCCCCTCCATTAATAACCTCCACACAAGTCAATGTTACCAGTGATTTGACGTCGAGCACATGGCAAACGGTGTGCAGTCTTTTTTTGGGGCGACAATTATTGAAAAGTTCTCATTGTCTAGTGACCTTATGCCTTTCGTTGGTCAATGGTACAGACATTCTGAACCATCCATTGACAGTGTGTCCAACGAATAATCGCAGTTACAGGTCAGTCTTTTTATTATATTGATACTTGATACTTTTCGCTAATGTTTTAATGCCAACCCAGACTGCACCGTCGTGGCCCAATTCCCAATGGTGTCCGCGCTACTACTGGTATGTAGAATATCTAATTTGGTGTGCTGAAGCTTATTACTGTCAAGGTCTTCTCACATCGCACAGCGACCACCAAACCGTTACCCTTCCCATGCCACACCCCACCCACACGCAAGGCGCCACTCCCTAGACCACTGCCAAATGCCTGCGGGATACCCATAGCGCCCAACCAGCATGCCACCTCTCGGTTCCACCCAAGCGCCCTTTACCCATGTCAGGCCCCATCATCGATCGCCATTTGGCAGCGGCTAGCACACTTTGCTTGGTGGTCTCTTGTTCGTCACCAAATATCTCCCGCACAAGGGCAGGGTTGGACCGGATGATGTATGGCGACCTATTAGATGAAGGGAGAAGGTTAGTGAGAGGTATCGGCAGCAACAGAAGGATCCAGAAATGATGGACAAGCGCCCCATTCATTCAAGGGAAAGATGCAGGGTATATTAGGGAGTGGGGGATTTGGCTTCAGAGGGTTTCCATTGAGTATCCGCTCATACTTGTCTTGTAATTATGGTAGAATATGACAATTCAAGATCTCTATTAAAATATCAAAACCAAGATTTCAGGTCTTCATTTCGCATTACAAGCTGCTACTTGACATTGCAATCGATTTCAACGCCATGCGGCTTTCCAGCCAAATCACTCATTACAATGACTAAGATTGATTGCCACGTGTTGCAACGGCAATTGCCATCGTAATTGCAACCGTCGTTACAGTGTGATTGCAATCGTGACTCTATTATTGAAAGGACTTTCAATCTACGCTCGGTCTTTGAATATTGAAATGCGTGACAAGGCACTTAAACCCAAATTAGGAATTTGCGACATTGCAAACACAAATAGCTTGAACAAGATGCATGCGGCTCCGATACACCCCAAAAATGGCATGCGCAGTACTTTTCTACGTCTTCCTCTGCCTCGTTGGAGTGGTTCATGCTGCACCTATAACAGATACAACAAATAGTATTGCCAGCGACAGTTTCTTGGAAGCCCCATCATTCACAACCAGAACCATGTGGACTATCATCTCTAGCTCCGTTTTCACTCTATTTGCGTGCATATATGGTGCTATTCACCCCAATATCCCGAGTCCTGAGGACAGACCCCTTCGTGTCCTCCTGCAGCTGCTTGGCACCATGATTATGGCACTAATCGCTCCTGAACTGATCATCACATGGGCTATGCGCCAATGGTTCAGCGCTCGTCGAGTTACGAGACAGTTTGAGAAATTGGGGTATACCAATGTTCGTCTGGAGTCTGAAGGTAAGTCGTGCTTTTGAAAACTCTGCGTCTCACAACTCAGTATACATCCTTAGAAAAAGAGTCTGTTGAAGTACCTGAGCAATGTAAACATCGCTTCCTTCGCCTCGTTGCAGTGCTTGCTAAATGTGTATCATCCGCACTAGTGTTTCGTTGGCATTTCCCTGGTGCTCTTGCGAGGTGGGTCAAAAAGTCGGTTGAGGCTCATTTCTCGAAGCAATCTGAAGGTACGCTCGATTCGTGCTCACCTAAACGTTGACTCACGTGCGTCCTTAGATTATACATGGACTCAGACGCACAGCTTCTTTGTGCTAATGGGTGGTTTCATGCTTTATGTGGATGGGAAACCCTGCCTTACCCTACGCCCTGACTACATTAATCCACGAAGGGTGCATCGACGTCCCTACCCTAACGAAAAACCAGATCCAAGACAAGAGCAAAGGTAATGCGATATCAAAAGGATTGATCGTGTTTCAGGTGGCCTGGTTTGTCATGCAGCTCATCACCCGCGCCATCTATCACCTCGAAACCACGCAGGTTGAAGTGGGGACACTCGCTTTTGCGGTTCTCAATTTCCTAACTTATGCTGTGTGGTGGGACAAGCCTCTCAACGTGCAATGCCCACATCCAGGGTACTGGAAGTTGACCGAGTCAAGGCCAGAGGATCACATTAAGTGCGTATGCGCCTCAGCAATTATATCGTGGCTGATTATGTCCGCCTTAGTGTCAGCGATAGAGACGAATTCACTCGACTTCGGATCTTGCGTCGAGTCTTTCGCCCAGTTATAGAGCTAATAGGCTGGGCTGAGATTCCCACATCTCGAAAGCTCCGAGTTCCAACATTTGATGGTAGCATCGAACTGGAAGATGCAGATAACATGGTTCTTCGGCTCGCTGGATTGCTTATAGCCACCATCTTTGGTGGCATCCATTGTATGGCTTGGTTTTTTGCTTTCCCTGCGTGCAAGGAACAGGCGCTATGGCGCATGAGCGCCATCGCTATAACTTGCACACCCTGGCTTAGTATCCTTACGGTATTACTCTTTAACGTCCTGGACGCACGAGATGCGTGCTTCGACGCGGTTTATGCATTATTTGTTATGTTGTACATTACAGCTCGTGCCGTCCTCTTGGTACTTATGTTCACCACCTTACGCGATCTTCCTCCTGACGTATACAAGGCTGTATCGTGGACTAGTTTGGTGCCGCACTTGTAGTTGGTAATAACAATACTTCATACCTTTGTGAAACCAATAAGTAACACCAATATCCTTGTTGGCTTTGAAGGCAATGAAGATCGCAATTGGTGGTCAGGCGGCTGGTTACATAGAGCAAAATTGGTAGGTTACTGATGGTACAACGTTGTCAATACGGCGACCCTGGCAGTATACGGCGGCCGTAGAGTGTACTGTGTGGCATACGTTAGCACCCTATGGCACCATACCAGGTTTGATATGTGCGGCAGGGTAATCGACGAGGCAGTTAAAAGTTGGCTGGAGTGAGACCATTGTACTTATCCGATGGCTTTCGAAATTACGTGCCATTGTACAACCTCGATACGTTATGATCAGCGGGGCCAATTCCACAAAGAGCTGACTGTAAGAAGCTCGAATATTGAATTGGATGTAGTCAAACGCGTTCGAGGATGTCCAGTTCGCGTTCGTACGGTTCGAATGAAGAGCCTGTTCATATGTGTGAAATATGCTTGGTGAATGAATCAATGAGATGGAGATCGTCAGGTATGAAAGGGACTCATCGTATTAGTGTCACGGTAGTTCGTGAATCCCATATACTCAACTTCATCAATTGTACCGGCAGCTCTGAATTGCCTCTCGCGGGACTGATAGTTGGGCTTTCATGTAGATGTGACCGATCCGCCTCGAGAACAAGGTGAATTACGCGACCACATGACCTGCACACAAGTCTCTATACAGTGCCATACAAGTCTTTGGACACTTATGCGTACTGCTTGTCGCACACGAATCGGCTTCCATCAAAGCTGCAAGACGTTATCAATATCAAATGACTCATGTGTTGTGACAAACGGTTTTGGATCCGGGACCGAAGCTAATGCAAACTAACTTGAAGTTGACTTGCTTGAGCATGGCAGTTCAGGGCAGGTTACACCGGCACACGTATATATGCCGTAAAGGTACCGTTGACGGCCGTATGGAATGGTGTATACAGTCTAGCCGTGCAGATATACAGGTCCAGCACAATCGATATCCGCAGACTGAAGCCAAGCTGTGCTTCCACGACACTAGTACTGTTCAAGGGGTTCGGGGCCGTCAAGAATCGACACTTGTCCAAAGTTTTCGGGGACGACATACTAATAGCCCCATAGCATTGATGGGGTCGCCGGCCGCACAAAATCCAGACACACATATATGGAGGAGCTTCAGTTATCTATTTGGTTCGAGCGATGGCACCAACACTAGTACTTGCACTCGCCCTCATAGCGCTTGTATCTTTCGTGGTAGTCCAATCCTTGCAAAAGAAGAGAGACACTAAGAAGCATCCTTTACCCCCTGGTCCTCCACCTCTCCCTTTTGTTGGAAATGTGATCGGAATCGACACAGATCGTCCATGGTTAGCATACTCAAGATGGGGAACTGAGTATGGTGCGTAGAACCTCTGACATGTGGATCTGGATGTGCTGAATTGCGACGCAGGGGAAATCGTTTACTCCCGACTGTTCAGTCAGGATATCGTGATCATCAACTCCGAAAGAGTTGCGCATGACTTGCTCGACCGTCGTTCACACAACTATTCCACGAGACCCCCAGGGCTTGTGCACGTTCTTGGCTTGTGAGGCCCTTCTATCATTTGATGTATCCATTGTTAAACAAGTCCTAGTTTTGGTGATGACTACAACTCTGTGTTTCTACCCTACTCAGACAAGTGGAGACTTCGTTAGTATATTGTCCCTTCGAGTTCTCTTATCGCACTTATCAGGTCTTTACAGACAGGCGAATCTTTCATGAAGCATTCCATTTAGAAGCAGTGTCATCCTTCCGTCCGATTCAAATGTGCAATGCTCACAATTTGATACTAAACTTACTAGCCTCTCCGGAGGTGTATGGAACCCATTTGCACACGTGAGTAATCTCTCCTTTCATCTACTGCGTGGCTGAACCGTCCTTTCTATATAGCTTCAGCACGTCTATCATCATGTCAATCATGTATGATTATGCTATAGCGCCCGTTGATGATCCCTTTGTCGCGCTCGTTGAACGCTCACTTGAGATAGGTGTAAAAGCATTCAGGCCCGAGGTCGCAGCTGTTTTAACAGAGTTCCCCATATGTGCGTATAACTTCGATCAGCTGTAGCTCTATTCTTATGCACTCGCAGTGAAAAAACTTCCTCCTTGGTTCCCTGGAGCGAGCTTCGTAAGGGATGCTATAGTCCGGAGAACTCTCGTTCCCATGATTGTGGACATGCCCTTTGAACATGTGAAGAACAACATGGCGAGTTCCAAGTGCCTTTTGATCGGAGTATTATCTCATAATGATTCTCAGGCGGCGGGGACGGCTGCACCATCCGTGGTGTCGGATGCATTGAAACGTATACCAGTCAAAACACAAGATGAAGGGGCGGCCGCCGTTCTTGAGCAAGCGATTAAGGAATCCAGTGCGTCTGGTTATACTGGTTCGTGACAAATCTGTGGTGATCATCATGTTTTTGATGTATCTCTACTCATTTTCTCCGTACTCCCAGCCGCTTCAGAAACTGTATACTTTGACGCGATTTCTATTCTAGCTATATACTGACCAAAGGCCCAGACGACGTCCACTTTATACGTCTTCCTGCTCGCGATGGTTCTATATCCCGAGGTGCAAACACGCGCGCAAGCAGAGATTGATTCCGTCATTGGGGAAAATCTCGAAAGATTGCCCGACTGGAGTGATCGCGCTTCTATGCCCTACATCAATGCCATCGTACTGGAGACGCTGAGGTGGTTCCCTGTCGTCCCTCTGGGTCAGTACTCTTGACTCATCGAACTCCGGTTAGCACGGTCACTGAATGTGGATTTAGGTATTGCACATGCCACGGTCAATGACGACGTCTACGAAGGCTACTATATTCCAAAAGGTCGGTCTATGGACTGAAAACCTTATCCCCTTCTAAAACTGTTTCTCAAGGGGCTACCGTAATAGCTAACGCATGGTAATTCATCATATCAAGTGAACGAAGATCAGACATAATCATTTCTTCTTATGCAAGGTCTATGGCGCGCGATCCAGATAAATATCCTAACCCAACGAGGTTCATACCCGAGCGTCACATGTCAAAAGTCGTCGTCGAAGAGTCGTCAACGCACGGCCCTGATGACGTTTCCTTTGCTTTTGGATTTGGAAGGCGTATTTGGTACGAAGTTTAGAATTTTGCGAATAGACGGGTTTGCCTCACCTTTCAACAGTGTTGGACGACATGTCGCCGAGGCTTCTTTATTCGCCGCAGTTGTGAATATTCTAACTGTTTTCCGATTGGAACGTGCACCAGGATGGAACGTCGGGCCTGATGCTGAAGGAGTGAAATGGACGGGAGGCTTAACGACGTGAGTCATCCTTGAGGATTTCTGCAGTGTATCTGAGCCAGCCGATTCAGGCACCCTGTGTTTCCGTGCATATTCACCCCTCGCCACACGAAGGAAAGGGTATCGCAGTTGATATAAATGCAATGCTAAGAGCTGTGCGGATATGGTTCTGGGGTGAAATCATGTATTACCTTTATTTTTAGTGTCGTTGGCTTTCGTTATCCGTCAGCATATTCAAGTTTGCTCCAGATTTATTATGCAACATGGGAAGAGGCCTGCGACCTGCCAAACAGAGGTTAAATGTAAGGCGAGTCCGTTGTATCTTGTGCACACAAGGATCTTAGGAGTCTGTCGGATGGAGAAGTGATATCGCAGTAAGCTATATACATGCGTTCGAAGGAGCAACGTGGCGATAAGCTGGAATAGTTGCTAGATACGAAAAACAACGGTATTCATGCAGGATAGACAGTCAGATTCGAGCGCTGGAAAGCACGGACTGCTCGACTTGATGGGATGGGATAGATTCTGGAAGCTGCGAAGACAGGAGTCGGACGCATGTATGCACTGCAGATGTGCATACTGTCGAGAACAGCGAGTATGACAATAGGGTGAGCGGATTACAGTAATGGAGGCGTGGGCACGAACGGCCTTAGATCTCCTGGGCGTTGATTGAAATGAGGCAAGCTGTGAAGCACCATAAAACGCACCATACACCCTCTGCAACTTAGAGAAAGACATAATCCCTCCAACGATTAGCCTCGTCCGTATTCCATACCATCAACATCCAGTAAAATGTCGGAGCTCATTACAATCACCACTCCCCTGCGATCGTTCAAAGGCCATGAAGGACTCATAACTGCAATCGCAGTTTTCCCTGATAAACGTCGGATGGTTACGGGCTCGGTCGACACAACGCTTCGTCTGTGGGACTTGAATACAGGCGTTGTGTTGAAGAAGATGGAGGGGCATCGCAATCGGGTGATGAGTTTGGGGGTATCACGAGATGGGCAATTGATAGCAAGCGGTGATTACGGCGGAGAGGTCATCGTCTGGCACGGAGAAACTGGCGAATCACTCACCAAAATCGAAGCATACTCCAATTTTATCTCCTCACTGGATTTTTCTCCCGATGGAACAGTGCTTGCCGCTGCTTCACTTATCGCAGAAATGACGAAACTGTGGAATACCAAAACCTGGGAGCTGCAAGGAGATCCGATCGGGTGTGGCTATGTCCAGTGCATACGGTATTCACCGTCTGGAGAACTTCTTGCCATCGCAACAACAGAGAATATTCGAATTTACAATTCAGGTACCAGGAAACGCGTCGCATTATTCAAGGCTCACAAATCAAACAACTTGTCACTCTCATGGACGCGAGATGGCACACGCCTTCTCACAGGCGGCAATAGGGTAGATCCTACCATACGCGAATGGGATACCACAACCTGGAAGCAGGTCGGTGATCCTTGGACGGGCCACACTAATTATATCAATTCCATTGCCATTCATCCTGCTGGCACACTCGTCGCATCAGCATCTAATGACAACCATATTCGTATTTGGCAGCTCTCAGGTCAAAAAACCATTGCCGTCTTCAAGCATTCATCCCTCACGCAAGGCATCACTTTCTCCATGGACGGCAATCACATCTTCAGTGGAGGTTACGATAAGATGATCTC